AACTCGATTATGCAACTATATTCAGAATATGCTAAATTATGTCGACTTTCCATTGGTTAAGATTGTTAAAATAAAGTCGTGACTACGTCTGAGATAAATCGCTCTTCTCGAAAGCCATCAATATAATCTGCCCTAGTGAGTTGTCACTTTCCATTAGATGAGATGGAGGTCACTTATGCGCAGTTATTTTTTACTGAATACACTATTGTAAATATCTTTGCCTCTTTACTGTTTACTTATCATTTGAAAGTTATTTTTACATTACACAGGTACAGCGTTACCTCAGGCGAAAGTACACCAGTTCTGTTGGAATGTGGTAAGTCATCACTAAATTAAATAATAATTAATTAATTTTATTAAATTATTAAATTAAATAACGCACACACTCACTCGACATTGCCCCGCACTAGGGAAACCCTGTGTCGCGGGTGCCATGGACACACACGTAGACAACCTCAAATTATACCCAAACCTCGAAATCGGAATCGAACCTGGGACCTCTAACCTAACCGTTCGGCCACGGAGGCAATTAACACACTAATATCGAGTTAAAATATGTGTTACGTAGTACATACGTATTAAAACACACACCTTTTAATGCTAATTCCATTTACTTAGGTTCAAATGAAGTCTCCCGTTGTAAGTCAACCGACAACGTAGGACTGAAAACATCCACCACACCCCCGCCTTCTCGGTCGTCGGACAATGTGAACACAATGGGTAAGTAGGAAAAAAATTATATGTATTTGAAGTTCTGAGCCATAAAGGTCCAGCTTGTATTATTGATGTCTTTCATTAAAAACTAATTTTTTACCGGTGCCTTAATATAACTAACCCTGATTATATTTTTGTCCGAGTGTTTTTTGAGCGTTGCGCACCAGATTAGTTTAATATTAAAGAATGATAATAATACATTATATTTATGAGTAAATATATGTTTGTCTTTTCATAATTCGGTATATAGTGGATCTATATACTACACTTCGACTTGACGGTTAAATGCATTGTTCTTTATGGCTCTACGCTAATGTCGTAAATTGTGATTATCCATCACTGCCTTTTTGAGAATGCAAATGTGCCCACAGCTTTTGTGCAAAGTTGTCCGCTGCTTTTGGGTCTAAAATGCCTTTTATAGCAAGGCAAAAAGAAAACTGTATTTGTATGTAAATCTAATAACCAATCCGATGCTATGCACTTTGGTGTCATATTTAAAATAGGTAGCATATTAAGTAGTCTTTAATTATTTTTAAGAAATATTGGTCTTCAAATTTATACTCTGTGATGGTTACAATACCTAGAATCCAAATACATTCAATGAATGAAAATATTACTCTAACAAGGAGCTAAATGTAAGCACGGGTTTGATTGCTTCATGGGGATTCATAATTCCATCTCATTACTATTATACAACATAACGTTGATTACTGCTCATTTCATCAAATTCATATTATATTACACACAACATTAACGATGGCGGCAGGGTGTGGTTACCATGTACAATGAGAACACCTAACAACTGCGCGCAGTCGAATTTATAATTCTAACACCTCAAACATCGGGAATCGATTTACGAGTCTTTGTCAATTTGGGCTGCACTCCCGAGTTAAGGTAGGTAGGTAACGCAGTGTTCGAGCTAAAGTTGTGGTGGTGTAGGGAACGGATGCGCGCGCACGCCGGGCAAGGCGCGGCCGTGGTCGGTTGCCGGCGTCAACCCAGACTCCGCTTCCAACTCCTGCACCACAGGTAACTGCTGCATGAATCTCTGTGCCGCATGCGAGATAGCTAGCCTCTATAGTACTGATGAATATATAAACTGTAATATGCCATTACAACATAGCGAATAAATAGCTGATAAATTATTAATATATCGCAATTTTGAAATAAAATATAATATAACGCAGTTTTTTAGATAATACTATGTTAGTTGTCAAGTGCGATATGTCTAGCAGCTCATTAATTTTAACTATACAAAAGATTGCAAAATTTATTTTGTCTGAATATTTTGATGTTTTGCTACCGTGATATTAATTTTTTTTTCCACTATTCTGTTTATTATTGATACAGTGATTGAGCAAATACAAAGAAAAATTCCTTCGATTCTACTGGAATCTAACCAGCGTCTGTTACCTCAACGTGGCAACATGCTCTTACTCTTGTTTGTGTTTAATAACTAAAAATGTAAAATAGCCGAACGCTGGTCTTATTAGCATCACCCGATGTTAATTATAACAAAAAACGAAAGTTTTTTTCAAATTTAGGTCCATACAAAAGTGTTAGTATACAAAAATAACATTAAAAATCTTAAAGAAACAAGTGTTAGTACAATATAAAAATGCAAATGAAAAATAAAAATATAAACTCGGAACATTCATCCCATTGAGCAGTCCGTTATTGGATACCATTGCACGTTAACGTACCGAGCTAACATTGACAATCTCCGTGGTCGAGTGGCTTACTCACCGGTTTTCATGGTGTTGACATCTATAAGGTCCCGCGTTCGCCGCGGTCGGGTCAATGTAGATAACTAACTTTTGTATATAGTCTCGGGTCTGGGTGTTTGTGGTACTGTCGTTGTTTCTGATTTCCATAACACAAGTGCTTTAGTTACAAGCCTACCGCTTAACTGAGTCGGTTAATATATGTGTAGAGCTCTTTGTGAAAGAGAGAGTTCGTCCGGGGTAGTACTGCCACCTTACCTATTTCTGCCGCCAAGCAGTAATATCAGCATTAATGTGTTCCGGTTTTGAAGGGTAAGTAAGGGTGTTGGTGAAATTACAGGCACATGAGACTTGTAAATTTATGTCTCAGGGTGTCGGGCGCAGTGGTGGTGCCCCGCAGATCTTTGCGATTTGAAGCTTTAAGTGGCACTGTAACTGTTACAAACAGGCGTGCGGCTTACCATCAGGCGCACGACTTGGTCGTCCCGTCACTTCATGTTATAAAAAAATATAGCGATATTTTTTTGCGCCCTTGACGAAGCACGGCCCGTCCACGTCCCGGGCACGGCACACATCAGTGTGTGGTTAGTGCTTTAAGCGGTAGGCTTGTACTTACTTTGAGGTCAGAGCAACGTATATGATGTAGTCCAATATTTATATTTATTTATTGGGCTGTCCCAGCGGTTCGCAAACATACTCAGGATGCAGTTGGGGCTGGCGCGCACGGGCTTCCAATGAGGCGCATCTCTTCCTCGTCACGTTAAGCGTTTACGTTACGTGTTTGTCTAGTAAAAATGCCTATTCATTCCAGGCTTGAACAGCCCTAAAATTGTAGCTTTCGGGAAATAAATATTACACTTGTATATTTATCGTACCTCATCGATTATTTGGGTATGAAAGTCATGGTCAACTCACTAACCACCGGTCTATTTATCTATCCTTTAAAGTTCCTACAACGTAAATATTACTGTTTGAAATTTGTTAGCGATGTATTTATTATATCTTTGTTTTATTATATTAAAATACTTAATTATAGTGATTTTCTATGTATTGCATGGTAGGTGTAATATCTAGATTTATGTCATACATTTCCCTAAACCACATTTCAAACATGCGAGATTACATCCCATTCATAAAACGATCATGAGAATAATTTGGGTCCAATTACGAAACGACTTTGAAGTATCTTCAACGCAAGGATTCATTTTGTCAAGTATTATGTTTATAGTGTAACAAAATGGGATTCCTTTATTTTCACAGCCTTGTTTGTATGCTAATTTTAAAGGTTTGGACCAAAATTATTTTTACGCTAAATCTTGAGTCATTTGTTTACGTGCGCGGTGGTGGTCAACAGAAGGCGTGGAGGCGTGCGTCGGCGGCAGCATCGTGGGAATCACGCCCGGCGCCGCACTAACCAGTAACCAACTTTCTGACGCTATTCTGTATTGAGCTCTGTCAATGTGCTCTGCATATTGTATAGGTAATCTGCTTGCTTGCCGCTTCATTTGTGACCTAACTTTTCTTTTCCAAATTAATTATGTTTGCGCACGAAATTTATTGATTTCAAAGTTTTGAAAGACATTTTAGGTTTCAGGTTTTTTGTAAAGCGTTACCAGACGTATGAATTGTTTAGAAATAGTATTTTGATAAGTTGCGGAAAGATTCTTATTATTTTACACTAGCATGTTATATAATCTCGCAAGAATTTGAAAATATATTGAATACAAGAATATGCACTAAGCAAGGGCTTGTTTACACGAAACAAAAGATTGTTCAGTAACATAATTTTGAATGTCACTATAGGTAGTATGCTTTATCTTATCTTCGTAACTGGTTTGGTATTCGTATGTGTTACCGAATTAGTTATTGTATTGAATTACGAGTAGTGTAGAAATATAGTAAAACAATAGGTGAAATGTGATTGGCATGTAAAATAATTAATATTTTAATTATGTAATTGTACTCATAAAATCATAACATATAACAATATGCACTTCTAATTTTTATATAATACAGACCAATTTCGGACTTTGTGTTTCAGGCTCTTTATTACGAGATCACCCTTTAACTCCAGGTTGGTGAAACATATTTTGTTTATTTACAATTAAATTTAATTTTAATATTGTATTCCATAAAATTCGTAAATTTCTTTACGCACTTCGCAGACGATCTCCGAATACGCCTGGTTCCCAAATCATCCGCGCAACATTCTAACATATTATGTAATAAGTCTACGTATAAACGCGTTTCATACAACGTAAAAAACTCAAAAGCTTACTTTACTTACCTGTTTCTTTTATTTGCAGAGGGTACTGAAGCCTAAGCCAAGCACAGGTGCAGTCCATCTGAAGTTGAGAGATCGCGTGATAGTTGAGCAGGGTTCCACGTCCAAGGGTAACGGTAAAGCGGATTTATTCGGATGCTCACAATCGTGCCACTTAGGATTTTAACGTCTTAGACAGTAGTCAATGATTAGTCATTCTAATCTAATAGATTACGAAATTCATCGCCATTTTAGTTATGTTTAGGTTGTGGACGTATTTTGGCAAATTAGCTTAAACAAAACAGTCGATGACAGAAAAATTGTGCTTCCGAAAGTAATTTCTTGCGGTTAAGGTTTTGCAAAATAATTGGTTCTAAATAAATTACTAAAATGAACTTCCAATTTTTAGTAGGATAAAATTAGTAATATTAAGACTGTATTATTTATTAAGTTTGTATGAACGATTGTTAGTAGAGAAGTTCCTATACTGCCATTTTCGTAGAAAACAATTTTTGCTAATTTGCCAAATTAAAAGAATACGAATTGATGATACACAGTCATAATAATTCCAATTAACTTATATTAACTATTAAGAACATTATCAAATTAATTATTCATTTATTTACTGTGATCGAGTTTTAGTATTATGAGTTCAGTTTGTTAGAAGTTAACATATTATAACCGCCCAATTTTTGATTTAGACTATGTTATTTACTCATTTTACGTTTTAAGATATTATGGAAACATCACATATTTGAAATACGCTCTGTATAACTTATATAGTTCGACTTTCTCTTTATATTTTAAATATGAATTATGTTCTGACGAATATGACAATGAATTTGAGTATTCACTTTGCCGGCAAATGGATTGGTCTTACCTAGTCATGTTGTAAAGGCCTACAGTCACGCACAAATTGTATTAAAACGTCCATCAATTGTGTTGTTTTATTAAAACATTTACATTATTATAAATCTTCCAATTAACATTCCTTTGTAATTTAAAGTAGGATCAAGTATTTTGAGATTTATGAACAAGTGTGATTATAAAATGAAGTTCAAAACGTGAGGTGAAATTTAGTATAGTACACTACAGTGCGTGTCTCATTCCAGCATTAGCGTAATCGAGTATTTAACGATTGACTAGTAAGGCTTTCGAGATCCAAAAAGAAAGTTGTAATAAATTATCCCTGTGTGGATAGGAAGTGACTAATTTCGACTTTTTACCACTAGTAAAATATTCGATTATGGTGACGCTAAAATAAAGCACGCCACTAGTGATGTAAGGTTCAATTTTACGATAGTTCGAAAAGCGTAGAAACTCGCCCCATAACTTTTAAGTGTTCATTAGAATAACTAATACCTACTTGTAAAATCAATTACGTTCATTTTAATCTTCTGCATTAAGGCTGTCGTTTATTGGAGTTTCTCGGGTGTAAATTTCCCATTGATGATAGTAGGTGTATAGTATATTGCAAAATGATTTAATAGTATGTGTATTTTTATATTCATTCCATTTATTTTATTTCTAGCTCTTTGGTACCAGACTGATTTTACGGTACTTTTATTTTATGGTGCAATTTATTGTCTAGAGCGTTGTGATAATCTGTTTAAAATTACATACAATATACAGCAAATTTATGTCTTTTAATATGTATGCCTCTCATCCTTTCCAGAAAGCGTATTAGGATTTGAATTATAAAAAAGAAACTTCAAGAGTTTTCGACACATTCTGATATAATTAACAAAAAGATATTTACATTACCTCTTATGTTATACATAACTATTGAAAAAAGATTTCGTGTATAATGAACACCTGCTTTTACTGATTTATATTACTTAGAACAAAATATCGTATTTTATTGCCTTTTTATGTGGAACTGTCAAATTATACAAATCTAATGGGGTAACAATGAATACTACTATACGTGGAACTTTGAGCGCACCTCACAATACGAGGAAAACGCAAATAACGGTGTGGTATTGGATGTTGGTTATAATTTCTTTTTAATAACTCCCCATTAGTTTCAAAATCCCTGCGTTCAAAGCGGTTAAAATCTCTAAACCGCTTTACGAACACAGTACTAGTTAATCTTGATCCAATATTTAATTAACCTAAAAGTCACATAAATAGTTACTTGTATAGTAGATTCACGAAAGCTTTCCAATAATCTTCCTTTTAGAAAACTGTCGCCAATCTTCGTTGAGATGTGCGAAACAAATGATATCTATTGGTGTTTTTTTAAACTTATTTTCATCACATTAGCTAATTGTCTATTTTGAAATGCAGTCTGTGGTATTGCTTTATCACTCATTTCCAGGGATCGGAATAGGTAGATTTTTTACCTAAACTTCGAGGAACATAGACAGAAAATGGAGACTGCCTTACGACAATATTTTTTAGGTCCCAGGACCTTTTCGAGATTGGGGAAATCACTTAAGAACATTAAAAATTGACGTAATTGGGGACAGGCAGGTACACTATATTTATCTTAACTTTGCGACGCACAGTGGCTCGGATCTGCGATATTGCGGACATTGGATTTTTTTCACGATACCTGTCTAAACAAATGCCAATCGAGAGATCCTATTGTCCTAATTACATATTGTCATGTCACATTTTGTCATAAATATAATAGGTTTAGTAGGAAAAAAATTAAATCTGTTTTTTTGTATGGACCATACCTTTAGTGCCCCATTGTTACAGTCTTAGTCGATCTATCTTGTCTTGGAATCACTACAGACGTATTATTAGACCTATCTTCTATAGGTTTGCAAACTAAACGCGCGTCCAAACCTACCTGTTCACTACTTATATTGCACATTTTCTGACGCGTATAAGTAGTTCGGGGCGCGTTTAGTGTGGAAACCTATAGAAGATAGGTCTAATAATATGTCTGTATTGATTCCAAGACTGGATCGACTAAGACTTTGTAACAATGGGGCACTAAAGGTATGGTCCCATACAAAAATACACATTTTATTTTTTTCCTACTAAACTATTATATTTATGGAAAAACGTGATATGACAACATTTAATGAAGACAATAGGATCTCTCGATTGGCATTTTTTTAGGGAGGTATTATGAAAAAAAATCCAATGTCCGCAATATCGCAGATCCGACCCACGGTGCGTCGCAAAGTTAAGATAAATATAGTGTACCTGCCTGTCCCCAATTACGTCGATTTTTAATGTTCTTAAGTGATTTCCCCAATACCGAAAAGGTCTTGGGACCTAAAAAATATTTTCGCAAGGCACTCTCCATTTTCTATGTTCCTCGAAGTTTAGGTAAAAAAACTCTACCTATTCCGATCCCTGCTCATTTCTTACAAAACAACCGAAAATACAAAACATTCTAGGTATTTTTTTTTAAATTGACATGTCACATAATACACACACAAATTACTTTCAATATAAAAATAATGTCTTTGATTACAGTACATTTAATTCCATAGTTACGTTGGTTTGTATACTTTGTGTATCATTACCAAAATCAATGCAACTATTCTTGATTTTATATGAAATTCCAAGATGTTTAAATAATTCCTCTATGATAGTACATTAGGAAAACGAAGGCGATTGTCAAAATTACTATTAGAAAACAAAATTGTGCCTCAACATATAATTTTCAAATATCTAAAACTCCTTTGCTTTAATATCAAAACCAAACTCAATTCATACCCTACCTAAGGATTACTAGTACAAAATCTTAATACTATAGCGATTTTCCTATTGAAAGTAAGTCATAATATTTTGTCATTATTGTAAAATACAAAAACCAGAGATCTTCAGTTTCGTAAGAGATCGTTCACATGGCGTAGCTGGGTGATTTTCAGGCTAGTTTTCTCTACCCAATTTCGGTTTAAGTATTAGAGTATATTACCGTGAAATATTAAATAATATATCAGGACACTTATACTCATATATTCAGTAATATTTGATAATAATATTCTAAAAAGTATAAATTATGAAAATTGCCACCGACATTAGGTAGACAAAACTGATCTAAAAATACAAGGCTATAGTACTTGAAATGTTTTTTAATTTGTACCAAGGAGACTTTTAAATTTAATTCAGTCCCTAAACGAGTTGTATGTTATGAATTTTCAAGCTGAATAGAAGGAAGAAATTATTAATGCTGTTCAAACATGTGGTTGCTGACTGTACTGTACTAAACATTAGCAGGCCGTGAAAATATAATAGTATTATTTTAAATGTTCATTAGTACCAGTGTTGGGCAAAATTTAATTGTTCTGGCAATTAAAGATTGACAATTAATTAATTGTCAATTGCGAAACAGCAATTAACGATTGATCAATTGTTAGTTGCGAGAACCGCAATTAACTATTAACAATTAATCAATTTTCAATCTTTTCAATGTTTTTGATTAACAATTAAAACTGACAATTATGATAAATTTATATTAGGGCATATTGGGGTGAGTTAGGGCGTTGGTTATGGGGGCCCGGCTGGGGGGCCAGTTATGGGGCCGGTTGGGGGCCCCGGTTATGGGGCCGGTTGGGGGCCCGGTTGGGGCCCCGGATGGGGGGCCTGTTGGGATCCGATTAACCAATCACAAATTATTGATTGATTAACGAAACACAACTACACACAAATCAAACAAATTGCAATTGATTTCAATTGAATTGATTTTTTAATCTGATTGAATTATTGATTGAAATTTAATTGATTAACGCCCAACACTGATTAGTACGCCCTGTATGTGTGTTCCGCGGCTTATGCTGTTGGCTGTAACATGTCTTCCTTATATAAATAGAAATAACGTGTTCCATGTAAACAATCCCTCTCCGATTCGAGACATGTCGAACACATGTCGTGAGCGAATAAAATGCATCTTAATGAGAGTATTTATCTCGATCACGGGTTGGGCGGTACTTCTTTCTTTGGTTCTTCCACTGTACTCACGTTTTTCACTTCGTCTTTAGAGTCTTCAGCTGCAAGGAACAAAATGTTTTAGTAACGCTAACGGGTTAATGACCCGTTTCCAGCTACACAGGACGGATTCATGTGAGACGCAAATTAGGATTTGCTTGATTGAGTAGTGGATAAATTAAGTAATTGAGTGAGTATGAGTGTCGGTCGAATTCAATGCGCAAAAATAATTGTAAACTCCAAATGATCATACCTAAACAAAATTTATGGTGGCATGTCTTATACATACAACAAGTATTAAAAAAAAGTTTGTTCAATAATCACATTTGACTTCGTCCTTGAGCTGCGCGCTGTCCTTGTCGAGGCGCGGGCGCTTGCGTGGCTGTGGATTGCGGTACGAGCGGTTGTCGCGTCGCCCGCCCTCACCCTCGTCCTCAGAATCGGATAGCTCCCCGTCGCCCGTAATACGTTTGTCCTGTACGCAAATATTCATTACATCAGTGGTATTCAAGGCATGGTAAAGCGATACAACGCAAGACAATAAATACAACACTTTTAAGTAAACGTACGCACAAAAAATAAGAGTTACGCAATTAAGCAATAACAAACCTCTGTCTGACAGGCAGGGTTGTTACAAGATGTTTTAGAAGAAAGATCGGACCTCTTGAAGAAACAGTTAAGATCCATAATGTGCAAAAAAAATCACACCAATTACCTAGTCTGGTCTTATGTGTACTTATTGGATACACAACTTTTTCAAACCATATTTATCTTGTTCAACTAGCCAATTTATTTTAATTAGGTAGTTTATGATATTACAAGATACAACTTTTGTATAAAAAAACCGATCTCAAAAGTTCGTGGAACTACTACATCTATTTGTAGTTTTATAGAAATCGGTTACCGGAATGTGCGCGAAATCGGATGCATCCCCTAGTTTCACCTAATTCATTCACCCTTAAAGGTGGAATATTTGCTTCAAATTTAAATGGGATCAATACTGAGGTACCCTCTTTAAAAAAAAAAGAATTATCAAAATCCGTTCACAAATTCCGGAATAATCGCGTAACATACATAAAATACTGTCTAATTGAGAACCTCCTCCTTTTTTGAAGCCTGTTAAAAGATTATGCAGGTTAGGTGTTTTATTATGATAAATGACATACCAGCAGATTGGTGTGATACTGTGGAGTGCAATGGTATCAATTGTGATTTACGATTATTTAAAAAACAAACAAAAATGTATTAATAGCTATATTATGTATTTAAATTCCTATTAAAATTTACCTTTTCGCTTTGCGGAAGTCTTTCGTCTTTGTCAACTTTGTCCTCGTCCTCAGATTCGTCGTTGACTGCATCCTCTGGGATTGCTTGTACCTGGTATTAGAAAATTGAAATAAATTTTATCTACACCAACGATTCGCGAATGCCTTTGAAGAACTGGAACAACTTCTGTTGTCCTTTATTATGATCAGAATTTTTTTTATCATAATTCTGAGAGAAAAATAAGTTACAACAATGGTGGCAATGTTTAATTGTAAATTATTAAATGAAAGGCTACCTGTACACCAGGCGCATGAGGTAACATTCTCAAGTTTTCAAAGAGTCTGTTCTTTATTTTTTCAAGATATTCCGGCGTATTCTGGTTGGACATATTGCTGGGTGAAATGTGGAGCTTGAAGTCGGGTCCGAAGTACTCGAAGTAGTCATTGTAAGGCAATTCGTTCGCGATTTCGACACCGAGCGCTACCGATGTTTCGTATGTCCAGCAACGGGATACGTTGCGGATTGTATAGCTGTGAAGTTATATTTGCAATTAGTTTTTAATATTTAAAAAAATATTATTGTCTATTGTTATATGTGATATCTTAAGTACGTTTTGAAGCAATAAGTGGTGGAAAATAATCGGATGGAGCTGTGTGACTCAAGGGTAGTACAAAAAAATCCCTTCGGTACAATTAGTCTACTTTCCCGATCGGTCCACTTGTTTTTCCCGATTTGTATATTTCCCATTTCGTCTACTTTCATGTTTGGTCTACTTTCCCAATAAGTATACTTTCATGATGCGTCTACTCGGACAATCTCGTACAGAGTACTAAAAAACCGACCTCAAAAGTTCGTGGAATTACATCTATTAGCCAAGTTTTATTGAAATCGGTTACCGGAAAGTGCACGAAACCGGATTCACCCCCCAGGTTTGCCACCCTTAGAGGTGGAATATTTTCTTCACATTTAAATGGGACCACTACTCTGAGGTACCATATTACCAACAAAGAAAGAATCGTCAAAATCTGTTCGAATTGAGAACTTCCTCCTTTTTTTGAAGTCGGTTAAAAACTGTCTACTTGATTTAGGGTCGTATTCCAGAACTCTACTCAATGCTCAAGTCAGGATTTGAGCAGACTTGAGTATGATTTCAAGTAATGGAAATACGACCTTAATGGCAAGGACTCGAGTATGATTTCTAGTGCTTTGAATCATACTCAAGTCCTGACTTGAGCATTGAGTAGAGTTCTAGAATACGACTCTTAGTTTTTTCAAATCACTCTCAATCAATCATTATCAAAAATATAAAAAATGTACTCCATGACAATCTGCAATTATGCAATTACAAACTGCCTTTGAAAATTTGTGAAACTGATTTTTTTTTGTAAAATTTTATTAATTTACATTCTTAAAAGGCTGACCATTTAGATAAGTAGACCGATCGGGAATGTAGACCGATTGTACCAGAGGGTAAAAAATATTGCCTGTTTATTTTGTTCGTTCGGAGCAATGAACATTGATTAAAATGTTAGAAATATGCCAAAACGAATTTTTTCAAGACATCATCGGTTTTCAGGATTCAGTGCTTTTATATACAATGGCAAAAATAGCTTTCAGTAATGACGTTTCAGTACAGACCAAAGAAATTGTTCGAAAAGTTGAACCACAGAATTGAATTGAAATAAATAATAGACAAACTACAAACTATTAAATTGCGAGGAATAGAGAAAAATGATAATAAAGAGCCATTGAGCCAATTTTCATGAAACCTAAAACAGAATACATACATTTTTGAAAAATTTTATTACCTATTCAGAAATCTAACTGGTTATTTTGCAAAAATAATACAAATTTATAATGTTATACTCAATTTTAATTTGATAATACCCGATTATTTAAGCATATTAAATTTGTTCAAGCAATGGGAAGCAGCGTGAACCACTAGAAATAAGTCCGTGGCATTACAAGGCCAACCTAAATTCGATCTACTCACCCTCCTCCTCCAACTAGAAGAAACGGCAGTCCAAATCGTTTAACGAGCTCAACGCAGCGTCCATGACCACGAACCGTCAAGTTGAAGCAACCCAGTCTGTCACCTAAACAAACAAAATTGTTTTAGACAAAATTATGCTTGTTAACTTGTAAGCAAAAACTGTAACCATGCATGCTTTTGTAAATAACAATGTAGGATTAATTCCAGTCTTTGGTAATTTTCTTTATTGCATTCCATGGTAATCAGGCCTATATAGAAAGCAACCAGAGTAAATATAGTGCACAGGCAAGTGAGCTCTGTTGCATACACTTTCATTTACTAACTGGTGACATTGCAGCAAAACGTATACTTTAAAAAATTTGAAATACTACTTGTAAGAGAATTAGCACTTGCGGCAAAACGTATACTTAAGGAAATTCTCAATTGTTACCTGTAAGAGAATCCGCACCGCATTGCAGCACTACAGCACTGGGCTGGAATGTTTCCATGACCTTAGAGATGATGGGCACGAAGATGGACTCGTAAGACTCGTCGTCCATGCCATCACGTAGAGGAATATTTACGGCGTAGTACTTGCCCTTGCCAGCACCGATGTCGCGCAAGTCGCCTGAAAAATTTTAATTTGTTAGGTACAGTCAAGCAAAAAGAGGGAAGAGTCCCACTGGCATTAGTAGCTTAAACAAAGGATTGTGGAGAACTGCAACTGTCCTAAATACTCTTAACGAATAAAGTGGTTGTGCTGGGTTCCCCAGACCACTACAGTGTCAAGCTAGATCCGGAGACGCTTTTCGTTGTGATTCCACACAACTTACTTAAGGTCATCCTCTGGGATCAATGTATAGTATGTGTAGATACCTCACGAAACATCATACCAAAAGCTAATGCTTTCGAACATTCGAAAACCCTGGATAATACTTAATTCACTAAAGACTAGAGAGGCTCTGGTGTTGCAAGAAGTAAACTTCAAATGTTGACTAGGTCTCTTACACTATGGTTTGATTTAGCTCAAGTCCAATCTCAAGCAAACTAAGGGCTAACAGACTAGAGTTTGCCATAAAGTGGATGAGAATCTACTGCACCTCGTAAGCCAATTAAACCGCATTATAAACACTAACGGAGCTAAAAAATCCTACAGTTATTTCTGTTGATCTTTGCCCCAACTTGTTATTAGCAATGATTACAATAAACCAATTTTTAGTTGCAGTATTCTAGGGCTGCACAGGTTCTGAATAGGCGTGCCTTCCCTGTCATTTAAAAACTTTTAGACTGTGGGACTAAAGTCTATCTAAAATAGATAGCCAAAACAATAGTAACATTCTTTTACCAATTTAGATAACACAGTTGTGGTCATCGGATTGAAAATGATTAATGACGCAAAGCCATTATTATTTTGCAATAACAATTAAGTGCACAATTAATTTAAAAATGTGCTCTGATGGTGTTAAAAAATATTATCTGGACTGACCTATTTTATTTATTGTAATAATCTTGTTAAACACTGTAGAGAGGCTCTGGTGTTGCAAGAAACAATCTTCTAATGATACCTATATGCGTACCTATATATTTTTTATTAATTAAATCACAATCACTCAGTTACTTCCTGGAACACTGGCTGGACAAATAATTATGAAGTAACAATTCTTCATTATTATTTTTACAACTTTAATTAGCTCATATTATTAGTTGGACATTTATTTATTATTATTTTATTTATTACGTAGTATTTTAGTCGGAAGCGGTCCGACTAGTTTCAACCATAATCGATGGTCTTCATCACTTCTAGACGTGAAGGTTGCGAACGTTGCACTCAACCCCTGATTAAGACCATCGATTATGGTTGAAACTAGTCGTACCGCTTCCGACTAAAATCCTACACAAGTAAGTCGTTACTTTGATACTATAATGTGTGATAAGTTAGTGTTCATAATATTTTTTTATTTTATTTAAAGTGTTTGCAAGAACAAGGAGAATGAAATAAGTAGTTACAGTAAAATAACTAACCTGTGCCTGGGAAATATTCTCCATACTTATGGAATGACACTGTCATAACTCTATCTGTAGTGTAGAAAGCTTCTTCCACACCATCTCCATGATGTACATCAATGTCAATGTACAGAACTCTCTGGTGATACTTCAATAGCTCCAATATGCCAAGTACAATATCATTAACGTAGCAAAATCCTGAAGCTTCTGATTTCTTTGCGTGATGAAGACCTCCGCCCCAGTTGATGCAGATTTCTGAGGCCTGTGGCACAATTAAAACAATAAATTTTTAATACATTTTATGGTAGATTCCGATTCTCCAACTTATTTCATAAAACAATACTGTCATCTTTGGGTCTGTCTCCAGATAAAAAAATCATTAAGGATTGAGAGTTTGGTTTAGGTTTCAAGTACAGAAACATGTATTCTTTGTGATTAAAGAGATGTAAAAGAATAGGTGAAATGAACAGTACAATCAAAATGCACAATACATCACCAATATTTTAATAAAGCTACATTCTATGCTTTCTAGGTGTGTTGTTGGTCTTAGGGTCGTATTCCAGAAGTCTACTCAATGCTCAAGTCAGGACTTGAGTATTGCAGTGAGTACTGAAAATCATACTCAAGTCCTTGCCATTAGAGTCGTATTTCCAGTGCTCGAAATCATACTCAAATCTGCTCAAGTCCTGACTTGAGCATTGAGTAGACTTCTGGAGTACGACCCTCAATGTTGCACTCAAAGTTGTTATTGTTGCATAGAATTTGGCAATGTAGATTAGGCGATGTTCATACATGTTTGCTTAGAAGGTATGATTCCACTGTTTTGACAAGTGTTGTGTATGTGTTGTAGTGTGTTAATGGAAATTTATACCTGTAAATGTACAATAGTATTACCTGTTTATTAAGCTTGACGGCAGCAGCAACTGAACCTCCTGCAGATAGCTGACAGAACTCGTAGAGGCCATCAAATACTGGACAATCCTCACCCACATTGACTATAAACAAGCAATAAATTGTAACTTGCTGAAGAAAATTACATCTATGGTAAAGTGTTTACTCCTTTCACTATGTTTCGAAATACCTTATTGGACATTTCTAGTGAAGCTTAGTACGTGATAGTGTTTTAATATTCTAAATGTAACAAAACTCCCGTGTGCCAATTTTGTATGGTTTTAGAGAAAACTTACATCAAAGTTCTTCGATATTTATACTTAGAAATTACAAAAGTGATTAAAACCGAAAAAATAATAATATTACTAAATATTTATTAACATGAGTTTAACAGGAATTAAAAACACTTATTTATTGAGCTTTGTCGCTTTTTTTAAATTTCCTTAAAATGGTTATAATTTTTTTTCGATGTTATTTCATGTTAGTAGCATAAACATCCGATCTGAAGGTATTTCGTAGCATAGTGCCTTCCCTTTTAAAAAAGGTATCTTAACATACAATATCAATCAAAGCTTAGTAACATTAATTATGCCTCGTTATGTTATGTTAAGACTTTCCCTAAAAAGTGGCATAGCTATAATCAATCTAAAACAGCTCCATAGTGGGTTATCATGCCAAGACTCCAGTGACAGTATCATGCAGAAATAGTTCAAATTATCTAACACAAGAACTGACCACTTGTCCAGTGTCACATCCAAAAGAAATGTGATGGAACTCAATTACAGAACCAGGTGCCTGGAGTGGCTACTGGGTACGGTCTAAAGTATCTCTAGAAAACAAACTAACTATCTACAAGACAGTTCTGAAACCAACTTGGACCTACGGTATTGAGCTTTGGGGAACTGCTAGTCAGTTAAACAGAAATTTGCTCCATGGTTCACTAAAATACATGACATACCACGAATATCTTAAAATGCCTACAATTATTGAGGAAATAACTAGGCTAACTATGTTCTATAAAGAAAGAATATCCACTCATACTAGCTAGCGCATTGTGTGTACCACCACAAACAAGAAGATTGAAGCGTAAACACATTTGGGATTCAACTGAGCTGAATAGTTTTCTACATATACAGCATTTATAGCGCCTTATTGACCTATATCCTTTGCTAATGTTATGGAAATTTTAAAGGAGTGTAATTATGTAATAAAAAGTGTGAAACTAACATCTTTGCATCTGTTTGTTATATTCAGACATGTTGTCAGGTCGGATTGAGCGCAAGAATCGGATATAGTCATCTGAATGGAACTTCGTCATCTCATCCGCAGTTGCCTTATGCGGTCTCTGAAAAAAAAAACAAAATGACAGACAGTGCTTACACTTTTATCTCTGAAGAGATTAGAATACTCACTATGGGTAGTATAAAAAGTATGATACGTTAAGTACAATATTCCATGCAGTAAAAAATGTTTAAATAGTAAATTATTCATGACAAATACTGATGATCAGTATCTTGTAGATAATGCCACAAGTTTCCTTTGTGCACCTCTCACATTTGCTGTTCTAAACCACAGATAAACAATTAAATATAATAATGAAATACTTACATAGATTTCCATTTTCCTGTAAAGTCCATAATTAAGAAGCAAATTGTGTGTCATACGTATGCGGTGAGGCTTCATCGGATGTCCCTGGCCATAATAGTAATTGCCAATGTCGCCTTATGGAACAAATAAAACAATTTACATTGTTCATATTTTGTCAACATTCACAAATCCTAAAAACATGCCTATATCCAATTTTAACTTCATAGCTTATTGTTACTCAGTTCATTTCATGGCTTGAAACATATCGGTCTGTAGCACACATATCAAGTCGCGATTATGGCCGTCTCTACCAATAGCCATCGAGTACGGCCTACAGACTCCATGAAATGAGATGTGACACAATTCGATAAAAACGCGAAGTTGGATGTTGAAAGATAACAGTTGTATTTTACGTGATTTTTGTAGCCAAAACAGGATTTACATACAAAGCATAATTGCAGCAATACATTTAATCGTAGTTTGTATAATGCCGATCAAGTAACTTCATGCATCATGAGTGGCGGGTAACAAACTTTGTAGTACTTACTGTCGTAGTAATAGCATACTCTTTTCTTGCTATGTGGTTGCATAGCCATTTCTATCAAATAGAGTATTGATCCAAATACGCCAAGACTAATATAAACGATAAAATCAAATAAAAACACCACGAAATACACGAACCACAATTATCCACTCCATACAGAAATGAACGAATGACTGAAACTGAGTTCAATCTAAACATTATTCATTCGAAAGAACTCAATCATTCAATAATATTGCCATTTAAAACTATTTATCTTACTTACTAATTTGTATAGCTTTATTGAACGGAATACAATTGCGCAAACACGCGTATTCCATTCAATTAATCGATTCTAAATAGAATAATTTTTGTTTGGTCAAGTATTTGTTGGTTACAAGTAGTCGTAATGTTAATATAGTTGAATAATACTACAATAAGACTGTTAAGTCCTTTATTTTACTTCTTTTAAAAAATTGATTAGTTAAAAAAAACTTTAATTTTTAATCGACTTCAAATATTAAAATTTACTCATACTACATATCCGGCGATGTATGTAATCATTTTCTCACTGTATTCGGACATTCGAGGCAACGTGTTGCAGAAATTATCGAAATTACAGATACTGGTACTAATGATAATGATAATAGATATTACAAAGCTGGAAAAAAAACGAAACGTTATAACAATAGAGTTATAGAATATTTTATAATAATGCTAAGGTCATAATAATTTTTGTCCCTTTGTTTTCAAAACCGATGTGTTTACATTCACAGCAATCGTAATAGATGGTTACATTTTGAGTTTCTTAATTCTTTATTATAATTATTTTAAGCGATGTATTTGTAATAAATAATGAAAACTCGAGATGTGGGTAATTTGTGGGGAATATGAACTTTGTTATCCCCAAGTTTGGGGACTTTAACCGTGATTTTTGGGGATTTTGAACAATTTGCATTGGCAACACTGTCGCTTGCGCATGTTGCGCCATTTGATTTAGTTACGGTTTAGGGTTGTCTTCGTTCGTGTCGTACTGCAGTGCGTAATAAAAAAATTACAACATCCGATTCAACTAATCACCGGTTTTTTATGACTATTTTTTATGATTAACGCAAGACCTATCTAAGCCAGCGCATCGTCGTCGTCTTCAATCGATGCCATATCGAAATTAACTGAAGATCTCTCCGGATACCGGACAGTCTCATACTACTAGACTCCCACTAAAACCCCGCCGGGTTTCCCTCTCGCCGGTTGAGTCGGCGCCGTGGGATCAGTGAACATTCACCACGACGCCGCCCGGCCGCCCTAGCTTACGCCAGGGCTCCCGCGCCAACGGAGGGGCGAGTCGGTTGTCCTCCGACCCACCCCCCAGACGAGTGAGGCCGTGCAATGCAGACTCCGGAGTCCCTGTCCAGAGCCCGCTGGTCTCACTACGGGATCAGGCGAGCAGCGAACTGTCTTCGCCTTCTCCCCGTACGTCTGCGCCGGAGCGGGTGCGCGTCTGCCGCGTCCTCGCGCACCCGCTCCGCGGCCTCCTTTTGCGACATAATCTCTGCGCAAAAGGAGGCCACCGCCTCCCAGGACTCCTCGCTATCGAGCATGGCGGCAACCACGCTCGGCAGCGAGAGGTCCTGCCCTACAGTCCCCGTCAGAGTGCGGCGCTGCTCATCCCACCGGCTACACACCTCTAGGGTGTGCTGCGCGGTGTCATCCGCAGCGCCGCACTCGTGGCACGACGGGGACGGTTTCCTCCTCGCCACCTTGTGCAGGTAGTGACCGAAGCAGCCGTGCCCGGTCAGCACCTGCACAAGGTGGTACGACAGTGGCCCGTGGGACCGGTTTACCCACTCTACGAGGACAGGGCGGATCGCCTCTATGGTACGAGCGCCATAGGGGGGATCCGTCAAGCCCTCTTTCCACCGGTCCCGCATGCGCTGCGCCGCGAGGCGGCGCTCCCGCTCCACCTCTTGGGGAGCGGGTCGCTCACCTCGGTCCCTCATTCCCCGCCGGAAGGTGCGGACCTCCGCCAGGACCTTGGCTTCGAGGTCCCACGGCGGAGTACCGGCGAGGACGCATGCGGCAGCGCAGGCCACCGTCCTGTACGCCCTGCACATTCGCAGGGCGACTACCCTCTGGGGCCTCCTCAGCAGCGCCTTCGTCGCCGCTGATATGGCCCCACTCCAAATGGGAGCCCCGTATATGTGCAGGCATACCTGCGACCTCTCTGGCATACTGTAACGTGTATGGCCGGTGTTAGTTGTTAATGACACAAATATACATTATCCATATGTTATCCATTCATCATTTCGATCAGTCCGAAACGAACCATGGATCGTAAAAACGAATATAAACTTTATAAACACACTACTCATGGTTGAAAGGTGTGAAGGATAACACACGTGTCCGGACTAAATTTCGTCTTTCCGTTATTTTCTCTATGAGAGTTTAAAATTGTGTCGTGTTTTGTGTTGGTGGTGGTAGAAATATTAGCGTAGAGGTAAGTTCCCCTAATGTTTAATGATTCCAATGACGAGGCGGAGCCCCCTGTCAGGGGGCGTCGTTTTCTATATATCTCTCCGTCCGTTAGCTCAATGGAGATTAGTACCAGTGGTGCTCAAAAGAGCAAACGCCCTGTCTGAGCGGTCATTGACTAGATTGACTGAAGAATACATTGCTATAAACTGCTCCTCTTGTTGTTATTTCTAACAGACGGTTCCATTAAAAAGATCAGGCTCCCGCCGTCTGCATCACTTTAACATATGGATACCTTGGCGGGATACAAAAATAACTCTGACTTGAAATACACGAACAATGATTCTGGCCCCATTCTCGTCCATATTACTCGTAAAGAGTGACTCTTCTCCTACCACAAGCTCAATGTGTGCTTTAAACAGTCTACAACAGCCTTTCCCAAAGTGGGCGATAACGCCCCCTTGTGGGCGCTGCAGGCCTAAAGGAGGGCTGTAAGAGACCCAGAAAAAAATGGGGGCATTGTGTAGAGGCTTAGGGGGAAATTTGTCATTTCATCTAGGAAGACTCTTAGACAACGACTGAGCTCTCGACTATCGACTACAACTTGTGAACATCAACTAATATTTATTAAGAGCTTGCTCAAACTAACTCGGTTCGATATTTCTCTCCGTGTAGTTCATATGTCTGCCCTGTTTTATTGAATAAATAAAATAAAAATGTCAATCATGTCAATCGGACGCTTCGTTTCGAAATGAAAGTAGACACAAACAAACAATAAAAAGGCAACAGACACAGTTACGCATTTTAATAGTTATTAGTATTCCTAGATAGGCAATTTTCGTAGATAATAGACCGCAAGCAATAATGTTTTAACAAGTTTTTATTAAATAACCCGATTTGTGCATTCCTGTATCAATCCGCAGGTTCTTAAAATACATGTTCTTACTTGTTGAGTACGTCAATCGTACTCACACTCACACGTCGAATGAGATAAACGAGTTTATGCATGTTTGTCTTATTCCTCTCGGTGCGTGCTGCTTATGCAATCCTATATAAACAGCGTAATATTTATTTTATTTTCATTTGCGGTTTCGCGCGTAATAGATAAGCAGTACTTAAGTTCAACACTTAAAACAATGTCGGAAATAAAAAAGAAGAGACGGCAGTACTGTGCGGAATATATTAAATTCGGATTCATTGAAATTCCCACAAACCCATCGTCGCCTTTGTGCCTTCTATGTCTAAAAACGTTTTCGAATGAAGCAATGAAGCCTTCAAGACTGCAAGATCATTTGAATAAAATGCATCCAGATAAGAAAGACAAGAATGTAGTATATTTTCAAAACCTAGGGAAGAAGCATAATACTCAACCAAGTGTAGCAAAACTCTTTTCCGCGGCTGCTAATCAAGATGACGACGGACTTCGAGCTTCGTACAATATCTCTTTGTTAATTGCTCAAAAAGGCAAACCACACAACATCGGAGAAGAGTTAATTTTGCCAGCAATAAAGGAAGTAATAACTACTGTGCTTCATAAACCGGCCGCAGATATTATCCGAAAAATTCCCTTGAGTAATAATTCTGTGCAAAGATGAATTGATGAAATGGCTGAAAACATTGAACAATCATTGCGCAACTATCTGAGGACTAGTCAATTCTCAATTCAGCTCGATGAGTTCTCTTTACCAACTAATGAAGCATTGTTGCTGCCTTACGTGAGGTTTATTAAAGATGAGAAAATATGTGAAGAACTAATGTTTGCTAGAAATTTCCCAAAGGGTCCCTACTGAAGAAGGCGCTGAAGAGTCCTAAGGCGGTAGGGAAATCGGAAGCAATTGGGAGGCGTTAATGCTGTCCAAGAGGTGCTACAACATTTGAAAAAATCTATATAAACTACACAACATATTCCTACGTGTTTTCAATTACTATTTTGTGGTGGTGGGCGTTCAAATTTTTTTATCTTGCCTAAGTGGGCGATGAGCCAATAAGTTTGGGAACTTATGGTCTGCAACAACAAAGTTTCGGGAATTTTAGAAATAAAAAGCATTGGCAGGGACAAAGTAGCAATTAACTTCCAAACACCCCAAGAAGTACCTTAGTACTCAAAAACTTTCCGCTGCATCTGCATCCATTGACCTATGGCTGTATCACAATAAAAGTTAAGTGTTTTTGTTTCTTTCCTTCGTGGCATTGGCAAAATCATAATCTCATTTAATAATGGAGCCATACAAATGTAAAGTGAATGGTGAAGTGGAGAAACATACACAATCGATTTGTCGTTACGATCAGTCTGAAACAAGGATCGCGAAGACAAATCGTCGCGTATATGGGGACTTTTTATTGAGATCATAGATTTAAGCACGGCAATACACGTCCGATTTCGTGTCTAATAGTCGGATTCGACTATCGGATCATATTCAGTCAATACACGTTCGCTAGGTGTCCGATTCTTTCGTCAGACTTTTTCTAACCAACCCAAACGCAGGAAATTTCAAGTCAACAACTCGATTGGAGATTTCGTGTCGATTGACGATTGACGCTATGTGGGAAAAATACCCCCGCATTCTAGCATTTTATAATTTTTTTTACATCGCTAGGTTGATGATCACAGACAAAACACTATTTATTTGTTTGTTTATGAACGATATTGATATTTTTTTCAACATCCCACACGCTCCGCTTATATAGCAACATTTATATAGAATTATTAGCAAACCGCTATATATATATAAAATTATCCGATAGGATTTAAATCACTTTATCTTGAATTGTAAAATTACTACTATTATCAGTCACCGACAAGGGCCTGGCTCTTAAATAGAATTATTATGAACAGTCGGTGCGTGTTGAGCGCGCAACCTTTCCTCATGTTCAGGCCGGTCCCCGGTATGAAAAAAAAGCCAAATAAAGCCGAGCATTTGGTATTTTAACACTACAACTTACCACTCGTCAAGCTTAAATATTTAGATCTAAACTTAATTCAACATGTTAAGATTATTTCTAATTAGAGCGTAACGTATATAGATTGTCACATTTTGTTTTCTTAAATATTTGATATATTTTTAAGCGTAAAAATAATAATATAATAAATACTGAGAATAAATAAATATTGTTACATGTGGGAAATATGAACTTTGCTCTCAAATTTTTTACCTTGATTTTTAGAATAATTAGCATTGGCAACGCTGCGAATCGAAAGGAAGAATCGGACATGCAAAAGTATAGAGAGAGCGCCTTCAGACAATCGGATCGGCAATAAAGTCGGACGCTATTTCCGATTCGAACGTGGACTGTGAAATAAACAAATACTGACATAGTTCAAGCATTTATAATTTCTCAGTCAGAACGTTGACAAAGTCAATATCAACCATAGATTATTCATAGTATATAACATTCGTCCATCCCTACAAGTTACGACATGTCCTCAATGCGCCGCCGCGGCAATCTGATAATGCGCTCTCTGCGCCTTGGTGCTCCCTGCCGGGAAGTCGTAGCATGTGGCGAATATGTAGTGGCACTGCATGCCCGTAGTGGGGAGGCAGCTGAGTTCTGCGTTCCCGATGAACTTGTAACGGGTTCCACCACACTGGTCGGCGAGTCTCGAGTGGTCTGACAAGTTGACCAACTTGGCGATTCGGATGGTTGTTGCGAAGTTCGGTGAGAAGACTCCGGCTGTCGATTAGATATAGACGACGGAGGCTGTGAGCTGTCAGTAGAAACTGGGTTGATAGGATCGGGTAACCGGAAACGTACATGATCAGCATGATATCTCTTTTCTACCCCATCGGCTGCGTCTACAGTGTACGAATATCTATGTGTACGCCTCGCTATGGTATCAGGTTCCCATCATGTCCCATCCCGGGTGCGGACAAAGTCAAAGACAAAGAGTGCGTCTGCTAGGACAAACCAGTACTTCCCCTCGAACGGGCCCGCAAAATCGATGTGTAGTCTCCCATGGGTTTGCAGGAACTGACCATGAGCATAAAGGCAATTCGGGATTATTTGGCCGGCTCTCTTGGCATTTGCGACAACGTTTGATATAATTCTCAATATCTTCGTCTATGGACGGCCACCATACATAAACACGCGCTAGCGCTCTCATTGCGGATGTGCCCGGGATCCTGTTTGCAGGTATTTCGAGGTGGCCCTTCTCAGCGTGGTCGGTATTACTAATCGACCTTGCCACAATAAAATCTTATTTTCAATTGACAATTCTGTGTGCTTCCGAGCGCGTCCTTTCTTGAGGCAATGTCGTCAAAATACACTGCGACGTTTATACCAAACGTCGCAGTGTATTTTTACGTATGGTATACCATCCAGAAGTTCGTCCAAGTAGTGTTGGAAGATTGAAGGAGCTGTTGAGATTCCAAATGGCATTCTAATGTATTGGTAATATCCTTTGTGCGTCGAGATTGTCAGATACTGTTTCGACTCCAGAGCAATTTCAAATTGCAAGTATGCATCCCTTAAATCTATTTTTGAAAACTTGTCTCCATTTGCGAGATTTTGACGTAACTGGTCAAATAGTGGAACTGGGTGAGAGTGAGTAACAATAACAGGATTAATAGTGGTGCGAAAATCACCACAAATTCGAATTTGACCATTTGGTTTTACTACATTCACTGTGGGAATAGCCCACTCTAAAGATGTTACATTTGGATCTACTGTATTCACTATTCCTTCGTCAACTAAACGCTGAAGTTCAATTTCTATGGTTTTACCAATGGAAAACTTAACTGGTCGAGCAGGGATATGTTTAGGTACTGTCCCAGGTTTTATATGAATGTTGACTTCATAATTTTTTACCCTTCCTAGTTTGTTATCAAAAAGTGAAGAAAAATTATCCGGTACCTGTTTAAGTGTGGTGCTATGTTGAACGTGTTTAATCGAATAGACTGGTTTTGGTAATGTCATGTTGAACATCTCGCTCCACCGGAGGCCAAAAAGCATAGGATTGGCGTCTTCCATAACCACTACGGGTAATATCTTCCGCTCTCCTAGCATTTCAACTGCAACCTCTGTGAGTCCTTTCCGTTTGAATTTAAAGTTCCCATAAGCACATAACTTTGGTACTTTTGTTAAAGGGGGTACTCCAATCCGCTTCCAAAAATGTGTGCTAATAATAGAATACACTGAATCGAATGTGCAACGGGCACCGTTGATGGTAATATCAATTCGCTTGCTGTCCTTGTGTTTTTTTGCGTTCGACCTTGCAGACATCATCACTCTCATCCGAGCTCGTATCAAGGGACTTTGACGAACATCCGTCGCTGTGTGTATGTTTCTTAACTTTATGTAGCTTGTTACCGTATTTGGTTGTCTGTTTCTTCTCTGTCGCGGCGCTCGTTGAATATATTCAACGATTTTATTCCATATTTTATACAGCAACTTTCAAAGTGACCTTGTATTTGGCATTCATCGCAGATATGGTCCTTCGCCTTACAAGCGTTGAACTTATGCCTCTCATGTGCACCGTATCGACGGCACTGGCTTGAGCTAAGTTTACGTAAAAACATACTCTAGTTGTTGTGACGAACTGTACTTTGCCTTGCTTTGACTTTATTAGCGTAGCAGGCATCACCTTCGGCAAGCTCTCTGGACTGAGCTACTGCGAAAAACTGTTCGAAAGTAACCTCCACAGTTCTTCCGTCGTGAACCTCTTGACGGTCTGGCCATTTCTATTTCAGATCCACTTCTAGTTGTGGGTGATTTAAGCCGGTGGCAAATCGATCACGTAATAAACGTTCGAACATTGTATCTTTGTAGCCAGTGTCGTTGGCGAGTTTCTTAAGCCTGTTGGCGTACTGTTCCATTGTCTCGTTGTTGCGTCGTAGGCAACTCCAGAATTCAGTTAGGGCTTTATATATCGTTATTTTAGTTCGATGTAAGTCGAGTAGCTTAGACTTTATGTCATTGTACGAACTATTCTCAAAGTTAGGTATGAGTGCTATTTTTAAATCGTGAAATGTCTCAGGGGATAAGCATGAAATTAATAATTCTTTTCGAGTGTCATTTTCACTTACGGCCCATATGTCACATTTGGCTTCGAAAAATTCAACAAATTTCTCTATCGATGCAGTCACAGGGTTAAAAGTGTCACATTTAAAACTTAACAATTGTATACTTATTGTTGCTTGTCGAGCTGGTAGGTTCCGTGCCAGGTGTCGCTGTCGTGGGAGTCTCCGCTGTCGGTCGTTGCTGTAATACAAGCTGTTGCAAAATGTCGGAAATCTGTTGTTGTTGATGAATGATTGAATGAAATAAACAAATACTAATATAGTTCAAGCATTTATAATTTTACAGTCAGAACGTTGAGAAAGTCAATATCAACCATAGATTATTCATAGTATATAACAGACGGAGTGTTCAAACAAATATAAGCACGTCGAGCTTGACACTTTGTACTTAGGAGCATTCTTATCTTAGACTTTTCCATCCTCTAAGATTCTTATAGTCTTAAGTGTCAAGCTTGGCATGCTCTTAATCCTGAGTTGGATCAGACTATCGGATCCGACTATCGGATGGAAAATTCGGACGTTTATTCCGCACTATAATCCCCACCTACGGCGTTCTGCAACACCATTGGTTAAATTTTAACAATCAATACATTCTGTCACTCGTTCCTATTAAATTTCATTCTTTCTTTCTCTTGCATCAAAGCAGCGGTCGAGGTAGGACATGTTCAAAATGTGTTCTTATTTCTTAGTTAACAATGAAATTTTTTGTAACTATTTATTTAAATTGTTTTAAATTTAATTTCTTTTGTGTAAAAATCTGCAAGCCACACTTTTTCTGTTACACGCAGTGTGAAAATATAACATTTATTTTCCACAGATTGACCCTGCTTTATCCGCCCTGAAAGTAAATCCAAATTAATTTGGAACATCATCAAACCAAATTTTATCATAAAATGTGAGTATGATCATTTTTATTGTGGGCAATTCTTATTTACTTTGATTTATTCAATAATATTGTATTTTGTAGTCTGACACGACGTCAAACTGTGACGCTAAATTGGTGTCTTGTAGTCAATTGGCGTAAAAAAAGAAAAATTGCATTGAAATTGATTTGGTTAAATTTAAATAACGTAACGCGTCAAGTTATTTAGAAGTGTCAGCGCGCAAAGTTATTTGTCTATAATTTATCTATTTTTAACTATTTGCCTCTCATAGGCAGCCATTTTAAATAAATACCATTGATGAGCGTCATGCGCATTACAACACGATAGGTACTTTCATTGCACGTTTTTGAGCGCGTGGCATATTTCGGCTGTGCTGGCTGGCTAGTGACTTATTGATCGTGCATACATAATGTGGTATTTGGTTTATTCTATAAATAAATGCATAGGTATATTGAGAAAACAATCTGTAATATTTTGTTTATTACTTTTAGGTCAGGAAATTGGAACAATAGCCGTGGCGGAAGCGGTGGTTCTAGATTTGGAAATGGAGGCGGAAGCCGGTTTAGCAGTGGCGGTAATGGCGGCAGCCGATTTGGAGGCTCCGGTGGTTTTGGTGGCAAGAAAGAATTTACTGGTGGCCAGAACATGCGTCGTCCAAATTGGAGTTCAGTGTCCTTACAGCCATTCAACAAAGATTTCTATAACCCACACCCATCAGTGCTAGGTCGCTCTGCCTATGATGTAGAAGAATACAGAAACAATCATGAAGTCACTATAAGTGGTGTGGATGTACATAATCCTATTCAACATTTTGAAGAAGGAAACTTTCCAGACTATGTAATGCAGAGCATTACTAATCAAGGTTACTTGGAACCAACTCCAATTCAGGCACAAGGCTGGCCAATTGCTATGTCTGGAAAGAACCTGGTTGGCATAGCTCAGACAGGGTCTGGAAAAACATTGGCCTATATTCTACCTGCTATTGTGCATATTAACAACCAGCCGCCGATCAGGCGCGGCGATGGCCCTATTGCTCTGGTTCTTGCACCCACTAGAGAGCTGGCTCAGCAGATCCAACAGGTCGCCACAGACTTTGGTAACGCGTCATATGTGCGGAATACTTGCGTATTCGGTGGTGCGCCAAAGAGGGAACAAGCTCGCGACTTGGAAAGAGGTGTTGAAATTGTTATTGCAACACCTGGCCGTTTGATTGATTTCCTGGAGAAAGGCACTACAAATCTTCAGCGCTGCACATACTTGGTCCTTGATGAAGCTGATCGCATGTTGGACATGGGTTTTGAGCCTCAGATCAGGAAGATTATTGAACAAATTCGTCCTGACAGGCAAACGTTGATGTGGTCTGCGACTTGGCCTAAGGAAGTCCGCAAACTTGCTGAAGATTATTTGGGAGACTACCAGCAGATCAACATTGGATCGCTTCAACTGTCTGCAAATCATAACATCCTGCAAATTGTTGATGTTTGTCAAGAGCATGAGAAAGAAAACAAGTAAGTTTGTTAGTTTCCTTTACCCATAGTATTATACATTTTATAAGCATGATGATTTCTGTATGTATGACTCATAAATTTGATTAAAAACATTTTCCTCTAAGAAGATCTGAGTCCTCAATATAACGAGACTATGACAATAGAGAAACTTGATTGTTATTGTTGCATTATTTATTTCAGATTGAATGTGTTGTTGCAAGAAATTGGTCAAAGCCAGGAGCCTGGTGCAAAAACCTTAATTTTTGTTGAGACCAAGAGAAAAGCAGAAAACATTACCAGAAACATTAGACGATATGGCTGGCCAGCAGTTTGCATGCATGGAGACAAAACACAGCAAGAGAGAGATGAAGTATTATACCAATTTAAACAAGGACGTGCTAGTATTCTGGTCGCAACCGATGTTGCTGCTAGAGGACTTGGTAAGGATAATGATTTGTCAGTATATGAACTGACTATTATATTGATTTGTTTATTAATAGTATGTATTTGCAATTATTTAATCTTACATTTGTTTTATACTTTCAGAGGCACTGGCGGAAAGTTATTGTGTTCTATTAGAATACTGCCTGAAATTGAAAGGCATGTTACTGCACTGGATCTGTACCTGAGACAATAGTCTTATGCAGTGGTATTTGAACAGAGAATGCAATAACTCGTCATATTACAGTGCCTCAAATGTGCCTTTCACTGTGATGGGACCTGAGGCCGAAGCTTGATGGTTTGTCCGTGAACACGGATATACTTGAGAGTTGATGAAAACCTGGTGATGCACTGCAATTGACTACATGTCCTCTCAGACTGATTGCAATGATAAAGCAGAGAATGGTGCATCGTTGAAAAACTTGACCACAGGTTGAAAAGATCGGCAAGGGGTCAAGGGTTTTCTGTTTCGGCCAAATGGAGTTTTCAACGGGGCAAAGAAATTATTTTAAACAACAAAGAATAAGCAAAGACTTAAAAAGCCCTAGCAAGACTCCAAGGTTCTGAGTGAGAGGCAAATGCGTAATTGTTTTGTCAAACATTTCTGTGTAACTCAATTCATGTAAGTAATGTGGTTATTGAGTTACATTTGTTTCAAAGTCAGTACTAACTTGCCTGCAGCTCAAAGTTTGTAACAGATTTCAAAGGGTTTAATGGTTTTTGTCAGAATGAAATAATCTGTTCTAAGCTTACATTTGTTTATTTTATAATTTGTTGTCATGTATGATATTGATCAGGAACTATTATTTCAGACGTCGATGGTATCAAGTATGTGATTAACTTTGACTATCCTAACTCTTCTGAGGATTACATTCATCGCATTGGTCGAACAGGACGGTCAAAGACGACGGGAACTTCATACGCCTTTTTCACACCATCTAATTCCCGTCAAGCTAAAGACCTTGTGTCTGTACTTCAAGAAGCTAATCAGGTTAGTGTTATCTTCAAAGGTTTGTTTTTTATTCCTCATACCTTTGGCATGGGTACGTTCCTATGGCGTAACATGAATGCAAGTATGAGGTACATCAGCACAGCTACATGCCTTCGGTGTCCACACAGCACTTGTCTGGATCCCATCCTCAGATGTTGTTACAGTTTTGTACAGGATTATTTGTGTTCACATAAACAACCTGTATAAAATTCTCTTTTTCTTTACTGATAAACATCTACAACTACCAAATAAGTATTTTGTATTTGCAGGTTGTTAGCCCTCAGCTGCAGACCATAGCTGATCGTTGTGGAGGTGGTGGCGGTGGCTGGAACAGAAACCGCTATGGAGTAGGTGCCCGCAATGGCGGCAGTGGTTCTTTCAAACGTGGAACCAACTTTGGAAGGAGTAAGGGACAGGGAGATGGAGGCCACAAGAGATTCGGCAATGACTATTAATGTTAGATTATAGTGAAATCCTCATAGGAATACTGTTGTGTGAAAGTGTAATATTTAATTAAATGTAGTTTTCTGAATGTCTGGTGTTGCAGTATGTCAGTTAGTGCTATTAATTTATTGATTTATCTGCTTACAAATGCGCCTTGACCATTCAAGTGCTTTTTTTTACAGATATTTTATTTTACACTGTGATATTTTTTTGCTGTGATTCTAGTGAGGATTAGCAAAATCTAGGAATGATTTAAATCTCGGGAACTTAGGTTCCGCTTTTTTTGTAGTACAATTTTCATTTTATGATCTACCTACCTGAAATAAGTATTGTCCTTTCAGTGTTTTAAACATTCCGTCATTTCATCTTCCCTGTCGATATTGATGTAATTTAATTATAATGATAATAAATGTGATTTAAGAACATAACTGACTGAATTTAATTTTTTTATAGTGCTTGCTAGAAAAGCTGGCGGTGCAGCAGCGTAGTAATACAGTGATCAAACATTATTATTTTTGAAGGTGTATTCTAGTCAAGATGTAAGTTTAATTTTACGACTAATATAATATACATGCATCAACGGTGCCATAAGTTTGGCTATACATAGAATGTAGAAATAATGGTCGAGAGAATTCGATACTTTTTTGTAATCAAACTGGAGAAAGGACTACAAAAACCCCCCTAGCTTGGTTTAGGTCTTGTGTTTTTTTCTATTGACGGTACGATGGTGACGACATATAATAGAATAAAAAATTCACCGGACTAACGAATGGCTCAAATCATTTCCTCTTGTGCTTTTGGTGCCTATTTTCGACAAAATGATAATAATGTGCATTGTAGCTAGTCAAGGAAAAATTTTAATTTTGAAAACATATTTTTCAGAAAAATAAATCTAGGTATTGTAATCTATAATAAAATAAATCCCTTCAGTACAAAAATTGGCCTACTACTTTCCCGATCGGTCCACTTTCACTATTCGTCTACTTTTTCGATTGGTTCACTTGTTTTCCCCGATTCGTCTATTTCCCATTTCGGCTACTTTTCCATTTGGTCTACTTTCCCGATCGGTGTACTTTCTCAATAGGTTTAATGATGCGTCTACTGAAATATTCTCATGTACAGATTGCTAAAAAAACCGACCTCAAAAGTTGTGGAATTACATCTGTTTGCCAAGTTTTATTAAAATCGGTTACCGGAAAGTGCGCTAAACCGGATTCCCCCTAGTTTGCCACCTTTAGAGAGTAGAACATTTTCTTCAAAATAGGATAGTTATCCTCAAAAAAGAATCTTCAAAATCGGTTCACAAATACCCGAGCTATCGCGACACGTACCTACATAAAAAAAATAGTCTAATTGAGAACTTCCTCCTTTTTTGAAGTCTGTTAAAAACTACTTGATTTTGTTTTTTCAAATCATGTGTAACGTCAGGGAGATGCTACACGGGCGTTGCGTTGTCACAACTGCGTTATTCTACATATAGGCGATTAACACACTGCACCGCGCCCGCGGGACGCGGAATCACACACGCGGTGACGGAGACGCAGATCTGCGTCAACGCGCGGTTTAATCTGCGCGGGGGCAGCGGTCTAGCGGCCCCGCGTCACTTAAAGTACTCGCTTCGTAGTTGATCGACGTAGTGATTGTATATGTAACCGAGATCCTTTTTTGACAAGAATGGTTAATAATGCAGAACTCATACAGGACGCTGCAGTTACACTATTTGGTTTTTGTTTACGTTTTTGGTACTCAAATTTGGATACATCCCTTTTTACGAAATCGATAAATGGATAATTTCAACTTCATTGCAAAGATTTAAGAAAATATGAAGATAAATTTGGTCAATTTTCAATAGTAAATATAAATTTATCGACGGCGAGATCTATTGTAGAAAACTAAACATGTCCTTAAGATTAAAAATCTGCGCGGTAGTGTGGAGCGCAGTGTGCCATACCATGCGGTTCGCCACGCCCCTCCGCGCGCCGATGAAATCGCACGTGCCGCACTCTTGCGCGGAGAAGCATTGTTAGTGTGTTCGACGGCGCGTGTATTCCATACAAACTGAAGCATTTCAGTACAACGTTAAAATGCGCAGCTCCGCGTTCCGTCGTGGGGCGCGGTGCAGTGTGATAACTGCCGTAAAGTAGAACGACATGCCACACGGTGCGTTGAAACAGCGTGTGTCGACGGAACAGCTCGTGCGGCATTAAGTCTGTTGAAATCAACGCAATTGCGACGACGGACGCAGCGCCCGCGCCCGTGTGGCATCTCCCTAAAGCGCCCATCAATATCAAAAATATAAAAATGTACTCTATGACAATCTGCCTTTGAAAATTTGTGAAATGGATTTTTTTTTGTAAAATTTTATTAATTTACATGCTTAAAAGGTGGACCATTTGGACAAGTGAACCGATCGGGAAAATAGACCGAACCGGAAAGCAGACGAATTGGGAAATGAACGAATCGGGAAGAACAAGTGGACCGATCGGGAAAATAGATAAAATGGGAAATAGACGAATCAGATAAGTGGACTATTTGGACAAGTGGACCGATCGGGAAAGTAGACCGAATGTACCTAATAAGGGTTTTTTTTTATAACTGTCAATGTCAATCAATTTCAATACTTATCGAACTTGGCTGTATGGTTTCAAAACTTTGCCTTTTTTCTTTACATGAAGAATGAAAAAAATAACAATAATAAGAAATTATCAACTCGTGCGTTTATACGTTTGTGTGATTGATGAAATAAATAGTCTAAACTGCTATTTAGTCCTGATTTCTTAAAAAGTTAAGTTTCACACTAAACGTTAGCTAATTCAAGTCCAGTTTAAATTGTCTCTAATTTCATAACCACTAACATAACCTAGATTGTGCCTAGTGCCTGTCCAGTAAACAGACTTTTTGTGGTGACAATGTCGTTTAATATATTTGCTAGAATGTTGCGGCGGAGAGAGTTACCTATATTGTAAGTACTGTTACAATTTCGTATCTTTAAAATAGACCATTCAGCTTTTAAGTATAACACATTATTGCAGGTTACATCATTCAACTCAAAGTTCATTAAAAACATTAGTAAATACTTTGAAAAATGTACGATTATCAGGAACATGTGCCACTCAAAGTTACGGATTTGTGCAATTAAGACCAATTTGCTCTCATAGATTCTATTCAGTGAAGCCAGCTCAAGATGAATTGGATCATAATGATCAAAGTGTCACTGTTATTGGTGAGGATATTCCTAGCCCATATACAGATATTGACAAAAGCCAGTTCCCTGATTACATTAAGGACTTTTTGAAAGAACAAGGATTCACAAAACCCTCAGTGATTCAGTCCCATAGTTGGCCAATTGCTTTAAGTGGACAGAATTTTGTTGGAATTGCCCAGACTGGCACAGGGAAGACACTGGCTTATCTTTTGCCAGCTGTTGTTCACTTAAAGGAAAAGCAGGCTAGAAAAGGTAGAGGTCCCAGGGTGTTAATCCTTGCTCCCACTAGAGAATTAGCAAGGCAGATTGAACAAGTTGCTAAGGACTTTCAAAGGATGTTCCAAATAAGATGTGTGTGCATATATGGGGGAGCAAGTAGAGCTAAGCAAGCGGCAGAGTTGGAGGCTGGAGTTGACATAGTCATTGCTACTCCTGGAAGGTTGAACGACTTCATTGTTAGTAAAACTACCAGGCTTCATAGATGCACATATGTGGTATTAGACGAAGCAGATAGGATGCTAGACATGGGCTTTGAGCCTCAAATTCGACAAGCATTGGAAGAAGTTCCCTATGAAAAACAAATATTGATGTTTTCTGCAACTTGGCCAAAAGAAGTTCAACATTTAGCCAAAGATTATTTGGGGGAATTTGTTCAAGTAAATGTTGGATCTACAGAACTGTGTGCAAATCATAACATTAAACAGCTCTTTCACTTTTGTGACCAGAAGGAGAAAATGGAAAAGTAAGTAGTTTATACTGCTACTACTCATACCCTTCATATATGTAATATAGACCCTCCGAAACTTGTGTGGATTATGTATTTATCATATAATTGTATAGGAAATGAAACTACTTTTTTGGATCTAAATTGTGTATATTTGTTTTCTCAACAAACTGACATTTTGGGCCCTTTACACGTTCCATGGTCACAGCTGATTGAGATGGTAAAGTCATCAATCAGTTATTTCTGATATTGATTATAGAAAACACCTTATTTTTCACTATAGTTATTATTATTAAGGTGGCTTCATTTGGGACCTATGCAGCACCTCATTACTTCAACCATTAACTGATCTATTGTTATCACCACTAATTACAGTTCATAGCCAAGGCCAACAGCATTAAAGAACTGAAGGACATTTCTGGCTCTGACAGTTTTTATGTCGAACTTCGATTTCCATTCGAAAGCCGATTAGAGGGCTGCACTGGGTGAGGAGATGCACAAGAGTTTCATCCGCCCCGTGGCAGAATCTACATTCTCTGTTTTCTCTATGCCCAATATTTGACATGTGCTTGTTCAAGTCACAATGCCCTGTTAAGCCTCTAGTCAGTATTCTGATGCTGTTCCTATCTAGTGACAGAGCTACCCTACATGTTTAGCACTGTAGGCAGCTATCAGGGCTTTTAAACGCCTTGACTTTGCAGCCACACGATTCGGGAGATGTGTGTGCTCTCATTCAGCAGATCGAGCTATGACAGGCTGTGTGCTATCCCTATAAAGGTCTCAGGACCAATGAAGGCCTCCCTAACACCAACCTTTGCCAGTTCATCCGCTGCCTCATTACTCTCGATGTCAGAGTGACCTGGAACCCAGGGCTGGACCACTTTATTCCTTACCCTCAGAGTATTCAATATAGTTTATATGACTATAGTTTGGATGACTGGGGTTAGTGCTTGTAGAGCGACTTAACTTATCTGAGTTTATGTAAATATACTTGTAAACGTAGCCCTCTCTTTAGGTTCATATCTGCACAAGCAATTATGACGTGTATTTCGGCCTGAAAGATGGAGGAGTGTCGTCAATGTTCTGCTTGTAGCCGAGTCTGGGTCTCACGCCGTGTGTACCACAGCCTACATTGGGCCCCACCTTAGACCCATCGGCATACCAAAGAAGGCGAACGTCCTTCCAGGCGAGACTATTAGAATTTCCCGATTTTCTTGGTTGGAAATTCTACCTGGTAGAGTTTCTTAAAGTTTTGCTTGGGAAGCATGAGATCAAACGTTATTCTCTGAATAGGATGTCTCAGAATTGAGTACAGGGCCAATCTCATTGTCTGGGAGAGCCATCTAGTCTTTAACCTGGTGGTGAGTCTGTACATTAATAGATTCAGGCGTTACTTTGCGGAAGTCCATGTTAATAAAAATGGAAGTAAATTAATTTGCTACTCCGCGAACCCAGTGAAGGTTAAATCGTGCAAAATAGCTGCGCTTGTATTGAATATTGATTGCTCGACGCTCGGTCGAAACAACCCCTCAGGATGCCTCGTGGAGAGGCGAAACACGTGTCGGGTATATTTTTGGTGGTGGTTTGTGATTGTACCGCTTGTTTTATTTATTTTATTAATTTTATGCGGAGGGAGGGTGGGAAAATGAACTGCATGAAAAAAATATTCAACACAAGCGTAGCTATTTTGCACGACTTAACCTTCACTGGGTTCGCGGAGTAGCAAATTAATTTACTTCCATTTTTATTGAGACTGTACATGTTTAGCGAGCATGAGCTTATAGCCCAGGCCTCTTGACGGGGTCATGTTATGTTGACGCCTCTGTACCAGTCCTCATTGCGAGGTGTGTGTCTGTACACTACAGGGTTAGTAGGCGAGTTGCACAAGGCCCTCAAAAAGTGTGTTCACATTAAAATCTCAAGGGTTTCTGTCGTAGAAGTCATCAGGCATTTTTGAGGAAGGGCATTTCGCTTTGGGGAGGATAAGTGCATCTAGAGGAGCACCAGCGATTTCCTCACAGAACTGCCTCCACGATGCTCGTTTGGCCTTTCTTATCTCATTGACGCAGTTGGTTAGAGCCTTCATGTGGGTCTCCCATTCCTTTGTTAGCTTGGCTCTATTAAAGAGTTTTCAAATTTTTTCTCTTAGCTTTCTGAGTTTAGCATTCCACCACGGAACCTTTCCTCAAAAGCTCTCTACGGCTTGGTACCGCTTATGAATCCCGCTGGAGGTGATCTCAACAGCTAATTTTCACGCTGAGTGGTTTTGATCATTAGTTACAAAAGTTATTAATTATTATACCTTATTTTTATTTTTCCAAAGAACATTTCAATTTACGCTACATGCGTTTTACAAAATATTTATTTAATTGTAACAATATGAATTTTTGTTCCATTAAATTTATTATTAATCAATAACATATTAATTAGCACTGCAGTCTTATATCTGATTGGGATTTTTCATCCGAGGAAATACTGGATCCCAAACAGTAGGGCTAGCACTATACATAGACAACAACGTACATAACACTACAGAGCGCGACTTGCGCGAGAGCGACATAAAGCGCGAGATACTGCTATTCTCGCATAGAGATCTCGTCGTGCCCTGTCGTGCTAGCCCTATAAGTGGTCCGAAATGTAGTTTGTTTGAAAAAACAAATATACGCGATTTAGATATGAAAAAAAAAAGTTTTTTTTTGCGTAAACATAATTGTATTTCAGATTTAAATCCATAATGAACAGTATTGTTGAAGAAAGCTATGGAAAAATATTAGTATTTACTAACACAAAGAGGTTTGTAGACAGTTTGACTCTGACACTTAGAAGAAATGGGTTCCCTGCAGCTGGAATACACGGAGATAAAACTCAACTACAAAGGGACACAATTATTCATAAATTTAAAGGTGGCACCATAAATATCCTGGTGGCTACAGATGTTGCTGCCAGGGGACTTGGTAAATATAATTATTTTCTATATTTTTTTATAACCCCGATTCCCAAAGAAGCCCCGATAGCGAAAAAGAGCGGCTACCATGGTGCATAGAGTTCGTGACAGCGACAGGAGCCTCCTGAGTATAATTGCAAACAGGGTTTTTTCCATGAGCATTGGTCCCGGTTGCATATTAGTTTTAGAAAAAACTGTTATTTGTAGTACTAATTCTATTTATAAGTGCTTTGTTACTAACCTCTATGGATGAATTTCGCGAAATAAAGATATTTGAATTTGATACCAAAACAGGGGCGTTGTATATCTGTTTGTATTTCTGTCTATGGCATCGTAGGTCCAAAACGGCTGGACTGATCATACTTCCATTTGAATGACACTACAATAATGTCGTTACCTTGATCTGATCCAGGATCTATAAACACACAAACACACACAAAAACACAAACTATACATAGACAACAACGCTACACACAAAAACACAGTCTTCAGATAGCCATATCCTCGACAATCTCTATGAGTTGAAGCTTACAGAAGGTGACTTTTGGAGTACGTTGTTTTGTATCAGGCATTTTCTAATTTCAATATAATTTATATAATTTTATTACATAAGTACTTGTTTTGAGATAGACAGCTGAATATTATTAAAGTATTATTATAATTTAACATTAAATATATAATTTAAACTGAATTATATAACTGTTTGTAATTTGATTAATAAATAAACCTATTCCTTTTTTTCCAGATGTTGATGGCATCACTCACGTGATCAATTACGACTTTCCCAACACTTCAGAGGACTATATCCACAGGATAGGGCGCACAGGCCGGCAGACAAATAAGGGTGTTTCCCATACAATACTCACCAGTGACGATGCAAGGCAGGCCAAGAGTCTTATTAGTGTGCTGAAGGAAGCTAATCAGGTAAATTTGTTTTGTTGGTATTACTTGAAGCTAGAAGACTTAGACAACTCGGTATTCAGTTAACCAAACTTTCCTGATTTAAATCGCGTATATTTGTTTTTTCAAACAAACCGACGTTTCGGGCCCTTTACAGGTCCCATGGTCACGGTTGACTGGTTCTGGTTTAGGTGAAGTTATAATGAGTATTTCGGTAAAAAAGTCATTTAATTCGTTTTCTGCCAAATCATTACGATGACGCGCTCCGATTGGCCAGCCCGAATTCGAAACAATTGACGGGTGTCGTCAATTGTTTCACTTCAAATCGACCAGTTTACTTGAGCTTTATTGAAAAAAAAATAATTTAAAACTTATGTATTTAATCACCGATGAAATGTGATTCCGTTTATTTTGTAATTAGATGTTTTGCTATTTTTCCCACACCACGTAATGGAATAGCCCTCTAGCTAGAGATATTATCTTAATTACAATAAATACAGAATATTTTTGGAATATACGGAGACGTACACACAGGTCAGTTGTTGGCGCTGTACTATTTCAGCTTTCTAATTTGTGATTTCAGTGCAAACGAGAGTTGATATTTAAAAGTGATATAAGGTCCATTTGCCTGATGAATTGCTAGGGACGGATGGCCCTTATTTCGCCTATTTCTGATTATTTACTCGAAGCCCTAATAGGAATCACCACACGCCTGCTATGTATGTCAATTATGGCAGATCTTCCCTTATTTAAGATACCTATGGGCATAGGCTATGTTCTATGGAGTCTGTTATCAGGGCCCTAAGTCTGCTAATTTTAAATCATTTCAGTTGCGTGTCTATAGTGTCAATGGCAATTTTGTGTGTTTGGTATTCTGCTAAAATTAAGAGAGTGACTTTTTAGTGGCTAGCCACTAGCGTTCTAATTGTTTAGCATTCTGCTCGTCAATGGTGAGTCCATGGCATGTCGATGATATAGTCTACTAATATTATATTTAATTTGAAGAATAAGTTGCTGATTAAATGAGGTAATAATTAAAATATGCATAGTAATTTCCATGGTAGGTTTAGAGGCAACATTCATTGTTAGTGATTGAATGAATCAATGCCATCAGTGCCATTCCACTGACACTGTACTGAGACTCAACTGTCATTACAAGTAGATGTTAGGAGAATACCAAATATTATCTTAATTACAATGTAATCTCAGTGGAGTCGCAACGATATGATTAGTGGTTATTCCCATTTGATTCCCTACAACGGAAACACCGCCAATTTTAAATCCGAACTGATCCCCTCTATACTATGCAACTCCCAACGGATCCCCTCATTGTATTTGTATGTTAAGTACAGTCAAGAGAAAAAGAAATTTTAATATCAAATACTCATTTTCTGAGGAATCATGATCAAATGTTATAATGGATTAGTCGACATAGGACCTATTCCAAAAAACGGCATACTCTTAAAAAAATGTCCTGTTCGTAGAATGACCTATTCTTATAATGGCCTGTTAGTAGAATGACTTATTCTTAAAACGCTCTGTTCGTAGAATGATTTAATCTTAAAAAGACCTGTTCGCCAAATGACTTATTTTAGTAGTGTAATTAGAACACCATAATATTATTTAAAATTTTATTATAAATTTGCAATGAGTAAAAATTTCGAACGCGTATTTTAATTTTAACACGACGTCATTGTCAATGTATTTTGACATTTAGATTTAAAGAAAATATTCCACCTCTAAGGCTGGCAAACTGGGGGATGAATTCGGTTTCAATAAAACTTGGCAAATAGATGTCATTAAACAAACTTTTGAGGTCGGTAAATGGGAAAAATACTGAGGTACCCTCTTTCCGACAAAAAAATAATCGTCGAAATGTGTTCACAAATGCCATGTAATGTAATCGCGTAATATACATACAAAAAAAAATACATTTCCTTTATATAATTTCCTTTATAAAATACCACTTTCTTTGGTCACTCTCATTCATTTACATATCATTACTTAAACTTATTCTGCAATCATCGTGAGTGATAGGCTCAGATGGAAGCAAGTTTCTTGATCTAGCTACAGTAGAACTCCTTGTGAAAGTGTTCGTCCAGGGTAGAATTGCCACCTTACCTATTTCTGCCGCCCAGCAGTAATGTCAGCATTACTGTGTTCCGGGTTCGACGGGTAAGGGTGCTGGCTGGTGAAATTACAGGCACATGGGACTTGTCTACTTATGTCTCAGGGTGGCAGTGCCCCTCAAATTTTTGCGATTTAAAGCACAGCAACTTTTATGGACAGGCGTGTAGCTTACCATCAGGCGCACCGATTTGTTCGTCCCGTCACTTGATATTATAAAAGAAATAAATATAAATTAGCGAATTGACAAACAATTAGAAAAATGGGGTATTTCTATGTATGTTCTTGAAGAATAAGTATTTTTAAGAGTAAGTCCTTTTAAGAATAAGCCTTTGTACGAATATGTCTTAAGTAGAATAGGGAAGTATCCCGAAGGATTAGTCGACATAGGACCTATTCATAAAATTCCATCAGGCACACGACTTGTTCGTCCCGTCACTTGATATTATAAAAGAAATCAGTATAAAATTAGAAAAATGGGGTATTTCAAGAATAAGTCTTTTTAAAAATAAGTCTATTTTTGAATAAGTCTTTTTTTGAATAAGTCTTTTTTTGAATAAGTCTTTTTTTGAATAAGTCTTTTTAAGAATAAGTCCTTTTAAGAATAAGTCTTTATACGAATATGTCTTAAGTAGGATAGGGTACTTCTCGAATAAGACATTTGCAGAATGAGGCCTACCACGATTACGTACTTATACGACTATAGGTCATTTTACGAATAGGTCCTATGTTGATCACATACAATAATTTATTTTGTGACAGGTCATTAATATTGACATATTGATATAACATTTTCTTGTACCACAGTACCTGCAAAGAATAAGCTTGTAAGTACCAGGGTATCAGGTGGGAATAAAATGTTAATATTTATTATTGATACCCTGCACAGGGGATGCGTTGGGAATAGAAAATAATATAATATAAAATAAAACGGATCCAACAGGGGATCCGTTTTAAGGGATCAGATGGGGCTAACTCAGAAAATTAACAGACATACGGCCCTGAACTATGTGTATAGTGCCGTGTGACTTTGCCTAAATGTAATAAGATAATATTAAAAATGATTGAAACTATAATAACTAACAACACTAGTATTCATAAATATGATGACCTTATTTACTTATTGAAAATCTTGGTAGTAAAATATCAATTTTACTACCGTAATATTCATATACAATTTTTTGTGAAAATGCTCCCTCCACTTATAGCTTGTTATTATAATTAATGCAATGATCTAGCAACACATAGACAAATTCCTTCGATCTGAATGGACTCGAACCCGGACGGACCATGCTCTTGACAAACTGATAACACCTTATAATCAAATGATATTTATTATGATATTACCTTTCCAGGAGATTCCCAGTGAATTGCGCGAAATGGTACAAGATTTCCAAATGACGAAACATCTGGATCAGCAAGGAAAACGAAAACCAAAGCCCATGTTTTACTCTTCTAACAACAGATTCAACAAATTCCGTAGCAGTAGACCTAATCGCACTTTTCGATTTAACAAAAATCTGAAATATGATGATAATTAATATTAAACAGAATTAAAAATAATTTGTAAATCATTTTAGGACATTCTTGTAATTGTGCAGTAATATACAACTACATACACCAATGGAGGTTTTTTAATGTAGTTGTTAATAACGTGTATATATATAGGTTTATCAGAAAAAATTGAAAATATTGGATGAATGAAGGGAAAAAAATGTGGTTGATACACTGGAAGAAAGAGTTTCAAAATGGCTACCGTAAAGATACAACGATTTTCCGCGAAAATGTTCTAAAAATTAACTATTGAAGAAAAATGACAGTCTAAGATCTGGTAATATGGCCAATTACACGCTCAAGAATGTTCCGAAGGACGAAAAATTTTTCTATTGAGAAGAAACGTTTTAGGCAGTTTTGTAACATTCCACTAGTGGGAAATATCGTTTTACATAATATATGAAAACTAAATCTAAATAAACGTGTCGTGGTGTACTGCGTGTTATAAATATGATCTGACGTCATCTCCTATTTTTACAAACTGAAAGTGGGGAAAGCTCAAAAACTTATTTGATTTTTGAAATGTTATTCCGTGAAATGTTGATGAAGTCAAAAGAAAATGCTTTACTTTCGTTGTTCCACGTTGCATATAAAACATTACAAAAGTTGAAAAGATTGAACATATTGACTTATCGTATTGGATATTGGACACATTTTTGTAGTGTACGTGACGTGATCGGGTAGAAAGGTGGTTTTAGGTGTTACTTAATCTAAAAACCTAAAAAATAAAAAGCAACCCTTATGCTGGACATTTATTAGGTACATGCCTAATAATATTATTATCAAGTTACTGCTGTTATTCTTCGAAATTACTATCGGTGCTGACTTAAATTGTCCTATTAGTTATAATGTGGATGCCAGTATCTTAAATTAGGTAAAAAATTGTAATATATTTATTGCTTGAATTTTAAATGAGGGATTAAAATCTGAAAATAGGGCAACACTACGTTCCGAGGGCATATGTTCCTTGCACATTACAACCTATTCTTCAATATTTTGTAACACGTTTCTCACTTTTTGTCAAATAACTTTTTTATAAATAAACCGACCTCAAAAGTTCGTAAAAATCTATTTGCCAAGTTTTATTGAAATCGGTTACCGGAAAGTGCGCGAAACCGGATTCATCCCATAGTTTGCCACCCTTAGAGGTGGAATATTGTTTTCAAATTTAAATAGGACCAGCACAGGTATCTTCTTTCCAATAAAAAAAGATTCATCGACTTCGGTTCATCAAAGAGTCTTACCGGAGTAATCACGTAACATAGTAAAAAGAAAATATAGTCGAATATAGAACGTCTTCCTTTTTTTTTAAATGTGCAACAAAAAAGACCGGTCCCTCTTTTCTGAAATTCATTAGCTGAAAAATCTGAAATAATAATTCAGTGTAATTTACAGGATTAAAGAATGTTAATACCCATAATCTACCTACTAGTTCATAAATACCTTTGCCTACTAGTCTATTAATTTATTTTTTCACGTGAACCGTTAAAAATAATAGTCACTTTACATTGCCGCGAAACGGAATGGAACAGAAATTGTTACGAAGTTGTAGGTACACCATACATGTCAATTACGTAATATACAATCTATATATTTTTTATTTTTTTATATATAGATACCAGTGATGAACAGACCTTTGCTTCTGCTTCCTCGACTACAGAAGTGTCGCAAATTTTATAGAGGAACTTTAAAAAAGTGCAAATTTTTGAGTTGATACTCTGTTCATCCAAGGCTACGAATTATTATCATAAATTATAATTCCAGTGGAGTTTCAATGGAATTACAATGACCCAAGAAGATTAGCACAATTGGGCCCTGTTTTTTCGCTCGTATCTTTTATTGTACTTACGTTATACAATAATTGACATTAAGTTTATTATATTATGATTATAAAAATTTGCTTCTATACCCTTCCGCGGTTATGTAAATTGAGCTTAAAATACGTGAGGGAGATCCACTTGCATTTGGCAGGTTTATTTCATTGCTGTCATGGTGATCGATAACCAATGGCTTGTCCCGTCATCACGCTACTGTATTATCACTCGTGTAACTATATATAAATTATATCAGTTAATTACGATCCCGTGATCCATTTGCAGCTCTACAGTGTATAATTATTAAGTAAAGAGTGATATAGCGTTATTGTACAAGGGCTATGAATTTAAAATTGCCTGATCTCGTAACTAAGAGTGTGTTTGATGTAGTGAAGGAGAATTTCCACAGAGTCAAGCTGGTATTCCATTGTAGTTTTACTAGCAATAACATAAGATTATAATTTGAGACGTGTTACGTAACATATTAATATACCAGGTTTCTTACCACGGTATGACTTCTTTTTATTTTCCCGATATTTCATTTTATTTCAAGAAGTCATACCGTGGTAAGAAACCTGATATTAGTGATAATCATTTAGTGAATAACCACGAAAATCCTAAAATCTATATATTAATATAGACATCTATATTATAGTGAATAATGTCCCTTTCAAGATACCTAACTCAATAGTTCTGTACCATCAAAATTCAAAATTTAATAAGAAAATATGTACTTTCTAACAATACACTCCCACAATCGGTACTCGTTGAATAGCAGAACCCCGCAGAAGCCTCTAATATTATACTAAGCGGAAAACTCAGTAAATTGGCAAAATTTAAAAAGGGTACCTTCAATAAGCAAAAAGGAGAACCATCCATATTCATCTATATGATTTTGAAAATTAAATTGTCATCTTTCCTAAACTGGGACAAATATTGAAATAGAGTTCAGACTCTGACTAAAACCCGTCCACTCAACCTATTAAGGCCAGTAACCGCAGCAGAAGCGGGAAAAACTGTTTCGCTAAATCAAATGGTTTAGGTATTTATTATTAAATAACGGTCTAATAAAAAATATACGATACACCTAAGAATATTGTCTAAACAGTATGCTAATAATGTGCTACACGATAGGATGTACTGTATCTGATCATATAAAATCCTGATAACAGGCTTAAAATAAAGTCTAAAACGAATTCCGTACCTGAGAAGCATTAGCTTAAAGAAATAGATATTATATATGATAGATAGATAATTAAAATTAAAAAATAGCACTGTAAGTGCTATTCTTCTAATTTTACAGGTGACGCGATTTTGTGTCGAAATGTAGCATGTGCAACATTTATAATGGCTTGAAATAAAAAAATTAATTGAGTTTAATAACATTTAGAGCTACCCTAATTGGCGTACAAATTGCTTTTCGACACAAAATCGCTTCCCCCGTAAAATTGCAAATATGGCGCTTACAGTGTAATGCTTCTCAAGTACGGAATTATTTAGGAATAAACTATCTAATCTTGTACATAATGTTTATCTGGGGATATTTTTCTTTTAGTACCTACTATAAAGAATCTGCTAATTTTACCTTTCAATTGAAGTTGAAAATGAAAATTTGCAAATTGCCCAGCGGTTTAACGACACGCCGTGCCGTCCGCTGCCCCGTCTGTCGCCATCGGGCGCTTGTCGACGTCGAATCTGTGCCAAATTTCTCCGCGTATTCTTATTTTATTCATATTAGTTTTCAGTGCGCGTGTTGAGATGCGAGTGGCGATCACTGTCACATCCCTCTTACAATCTAGACTCACGTTGAAATACTTAAACAACCCACTCAATATCTTTCGAACGACGTAACGTCGTGCGCGTTTGCACGCTAGCCGTAACATCCTACGTGACGTCACGAGCTCATGTTAAACTGGACTTTCTCCCCATTTCCACAGGGATTCTTCAAGATTCTAATAGTGAGTTAAGTTGGTAGTGATTGTTATTTTCAGAAAACATATGCTCAGCGAATGATATACTGTGGCGAACATGCGGTGTCGAAGGAGGAAATAATGAAACAAATACAAAAATCGGTAAATTACGCGAACACTGGCTACGTTGATGTTCCTTTGGGAGGTTTACTACTCGTCTATGATAGCTATTTCGTTCATATAATTGAGGTTTGTACATATTACTATTGTGATCACGGGTTTCAAGCTGTGGTTCATATAACATGTCACCAAAGATTTTTTCACAAGCTACTAATTGTATAGGTAGTTCTTTACGATTGTTGATATGGGTACCTAGCGTACCATTATCCTAAATTTTGTTGGCAGGGCTCGGAAGATACTATACACAGGCAGTTGAGGTTTCTTTTTAATATAGAAGTTTATTGGATAGCCAAAATGAAGCGACTGGACAAGGAAATGGCAGAGGCCGCAAGGAAGGCCGCAGAGGAGGCCCTGGCTGAGGGAGATATTACCGTAATGCCGGATGAAGAGGAGTTTATAGTATTTAAAGGCGAGAGAGTACTATTGAAAAGATTAAAGATCTTGATGGTCTATCATTGTATTACTACGGTAATTTTAATTTCATAATGATTAGGTACGTGTTCTTTGCGATTTCCCATTACGAAACCCAAAACATTTTGGCTGTTGTACAATGCGAATAAGGTGTTAATCGGCTAAGAAAATGGATTTTATACTTGTGGTGCATCATCTCCTCGAAAGTAGAGTTAATTTTGCTCACTGAAATGATGTCGATTAATTTATTACACTATAAATATTTGTATTATCAGCAGCTTAGTAATTTGGGTATAATTGCGTCAATCCAGTACTAAGCTTGGCAATAATAATTATAAAGAACGGAATGGTATTTCGTTCTCGTGCTCTACAATATCCTGGTTTGTAGTATAATGGAATACACACCATCACCACATGTTGACACTTGAACGAGTCCAAAAGAGATTTCTCTGGTACTCAGCGTACATGTAGCACATGTACTATGGTCAGGCTGTAAGTTGCGGTCACAGTCTGATAGGTTTTTGCATTTCAGAATGCAATCGCTTGCAAGTAATGGACTTAAAACTTAGTAGGGTGTACTGTACCTGAAAATATAAAATCTTAAAAACAGGCTAAAATAAAAGTCAATTAAAAACGAATTATTTAAGAATAAAGACTCGATTCATCCGTAGAACAAAGACCTATGTACAAAACTGCTTATTCTCTGGACATTGTACATTTTGTTCGCTGTTCTTAGCTGTGGATATTAAGATCGACTGTTGTTCGATTTCATATTTCCGAAACGAAATAATACATAAAATTCTGATAACACCTATAGCTAGGCCTTATTTTGAATAACGAGATTTTGTATTTGTCCTCTTTTCGTTGTATAATCACATCCGACTCTATTCTTCGGATGAGTAGGAAGTATCTAACTTTGTACATAATGTTTATAATGTTTAAGTGCCTCCGTGGTCGAACGGTTACCATGCTGGACTGAAACGCAAGAGGTCCCGGGTTCGATTCCCGTGCCGGGAGAAATATTTGTATGGCCTACATTTATTTCTCTCGTGAGTTTGGGTGTAATTTGTGGTTGTGTATATGTGTGTCCAAGGCACCCGCGATACAGGGTTTCCCTAGTGCGGGGCTATGAGTGTGTGCGCGTTATTATTATTATTATTATTACTACTACTATTACTACCTTACCTATTTCTGCCGCCAAGCAGTAATGTGAGCATTACTGCGTTTCGGTTTTGAAGGGTAAGGGTGCTCGTGAAATTACAGGCACATGGGACTTTTCGACTTATGTCTCAGGGTGATGGGCGCAGAGGCAGTGCCCCTCAGATCTTTGCGAATTTAAAGCTCTGAGTTACACTGCAACTGTTATGGACAGGCATGTCATTTTCCATCAGGCGCACGACTTGTTAGTTTAGTTAACAATTAGACAATATCTTCATCACATTTAATTTATGATGTGCATTATTGTAATAACTGTTAGTGAACCAATACATAAAGGAAAGGAAATAAGTTCTTTAATATTTACAATATGGCGAGGGTTAAAAATGAAACTTGGCAGACGTTTATAATTTCCGTTGTTTTCTGGAGTTCAGCACTTTAGCGTGGAATCTGCTCTTAGCGAATTTTCGAAGGCTGGCAATCGATAACCGCTCACCCGCCGGCGCTTATCGGCAAGTTGGACGTGTACGCTACCATCGACGTGCATATGGAGCAATTAAACATCTGCCTTCAAAAGTTATTCAAGCTTTGCAAACTTATTGAGGAGGATAAAAATGTGAGTAAAGTTTGTGTGGTGCACGATAGAGCGTGAGTGACTTCAAATTTTCCTGATCGCTATTAGATACTTCGACCGGGGTGCAGGAAAAGATTCCTTCAGGTATACGTGTATGTTACTTACAGCAAGATTTTGTTCGATTTCCAAATCCCAAAATATTTTGCAAAAATAGTGATTCATTATCACTTTTAACCATTTAAAACTATAACTTACCGATTTTAATTTTGATATAGGTACATTTTAATGCACAGAGTATGTACTGTCTCACTCCGCTACCTTTTGATAGTGAAGATATCATTTTTTGTATAGGATGTACTAACTAGGATATAGGATGACTAAAGGTAAACGCGCATTACGGTGCGGGAAAAAATCGTATTAAAAATGCGGTTACAATTTCACAAACGTTCATACATTTTTGTTTTGTGATTTTTAATCGTAATGCGTGCTTGTGCTTGGCGTTACTCCTGGCGTATTTGATGTTCTTTAGTTAACGTTCGAGGGTCTGAGTGCGAATGATCCCAAAATGGAGGCGCTGCCTGAAGTAGCGTTGTTGGACTACCTCCTAACGTCAAAATTCATCCTTGATCTCCGAAACACTGCAGCTCTGCATCGGCGAGTTGACGATTATGCTTTCTACTTTGGTAAGTTTTAATGAATGACAACTGGATCCAAGAAACCCTATCCAAGGTATAACCAAGGTGTAAGCGACAGGTATATTGTAGTTGTATGGTTGAATATTTATCTTTCAATCCTCAACGAATAAGAATCACATTGTTTGTCGCAAATCCGTAGGACGCCCTGTAGGTATATTACAAAGATATGTACCTACTTTCATTTTGTAAATAAGACTTAAAACGGAATTAAACAGAAATAAATAGATATAATAAGGAATATATATAATGAATACTGTTAATTTAGAAAGATTGGGTTGTAAAACTGTATAAAAACGTCATTGTCTTAGATTTCTTTTTGTGCAGAATTGGTGTGGCCTTTACAAACTCACTACACCCCACGGCATTTATACAAGTTGAAGCTAGACGACTCGTTCGTCGAACCGCTGCCGGTCATGTGGTGGGAGAAGAAAGAGGAAGAAGAAGGTGAAGATAAGGAGGAAAAGGGCAGCTCTGAAAGCGACTAGATTCTTAAGGTTCGATATTCGAAGATATCGTCTCAATATAAGTATTCTTTGTCAAAAAGCACACAATTGTGTTGTGAATTGCAAATCCTTTCATATACTTATTGTATATTTTCACACTTTCGTTAATTTTTATCTATTATGTTCCCGTCTATAGTTATAGTCCCGTATATAGTCTAGTCAGCATTTTGCCTTTGTTTTCGCTATTAATAGTTGTCATTTACATGTAATTAAGTTCACATATTCAATAAATGTACTTATGAACCTGGATAATTTTTGTTTTAATTGACTAATGTTTAGTATTCTATATCTATTGATTTTCCGGGCTGTAGCTTTGATTGTCAGTTACTATAGAGATATCGATTCGTTTTAAACTTTTGTGCCTGTGACAATCGTGTTAAATATGGAAAAGAAAAAGAAAGCAGTGAAAAAGGAATCGAGGAAAATAGTTGGCGGTGTAAAACTTCCTCCGATTGAAGCAGTCCAAGACGATGATATTAGAACGATACTCGACATTGATCCCGAGTACTATTCCTTGGTGCAAGGACGTCCCATTAGGCCAAACAATTCAATCAATAAATACAAACAGGATATAAAAAATGTTGCTTTAAAACGCGTCATGCATGGTTTTCTTGTCGACGAAATCATAAGGATTGATAGAGAAATGACATCGGAAAGAAATACATACAAAACTGCATATAAACATTTCGAAGAATGTCGTCACAGTTTCGACAAATTTTTAGCGTACGACAATGATAAAACAATCGTTATAATGAAGAGATCCGACAATCTGGCGAAAGAACTGGCGAATCAAGTAGAAGATCATAAGAACGCTAGTTACGAACTAGCATCCATTAAATCGAAATTGCAGTACATTGACGAAACTTTACTCATATTACTGTCTTTCGAAAACTTTCTTCATAAAGCTGCACCGATTCTGTGGCAGGAAAGTCAAAACGTGAAATTGGATACGAAACATTCCGAAATAGTGATAATAGACTCCGATATATTTAAAAAAGTTGACATATATCTTATCAAAGAACGATTAAGCAAGTTGGATTCACCGCGATTATATTTTCAAACTCCTCAGCAATTGATGACAATTTTCGATCTTATTGAGAAACAGAATTTGAATTACTTATTGGTAACGGAAAAGCTGAATTGTGAAAAAAATAAGTTCTTAAAAGCAAGAGATTTACTGAAAAGAATGTTGCATGAAGAATTGGATCATATTCAACAGAAGGTAAACTTTATAGGCATCTATTTCATTGTTTATCAAATTTTGTTTAGTAATGAAAATAAATTACTGATTAGAGTTATTTTCACTGAAAAGATTTACTAGTGTTGGAATGGAAGTATAATGGTTATGGATTCATAATAACAGATATGTTATATAGATTGAATTTGCACTATTACAGATTAATGAAGTTGGGGAGATGATCAATTGGAATTTAGTACGAGAGACTGAAGTCAAAGAAGTATTCTATAGAGTCTTGGAAGATAATATTAGGCATTCGTTGTCTTCTGAGACGGCTTTGCAAATTTTCAACTATGTCGAATTTACCTATGAGCAGATAATAGCACCGAATGACACTAAGCAAAGTTCACATGATATGGCATTAGCTCTTGAGACTGAGTATGATGAATTATTGCTCAAATTATCAGTGTATGATTTGAATTTAATAAAAGTCATCGAGAAGGAAACTTATGAAATGGGAGAGAAAGATATAAAACGAGCTAAAAAAGCGAGTAAGCTACTGAAAGATGTAGACAAACTAAGCAAACGATTGAAGTCTTCCTTTGAACCGTCAAGAAGAAAACGTTATGATTAGCAAATGTACGATGTTAAGTTAAAAATTACGTAATCTAACGATGAAGTAATGATAATATAATGTTACGGTAAACGTCTAAATAATACCCTATCGTCCATATAATAACGTGAGCCGCATTAAGTATATTTTTAGACAATTACAGTACAGAAGGTCATAGTTTACAGATAGACTCGATCTAGCCTGGTTTTATTTAGACATTTAGGACCAAAACGTTTAGGTTAGCTAGCCCTACTGGACTGTCCAAGCAGGTACACAATCCATCCGAGAGCTGGCAGGCAACGGACATTGTTCTTAATGTTCGATTTTTGAAGATATATTGACACACTGACACTAGTTGCAAAATAATAGCGTAAATAATTTACTTGTTGTACATTTCGTATTAGTATACAGATTTTGAGTAATTTAGTTATTGCTAAGCAGTTTTCGTGTATTATTTTAGATATAGACATATTCGACGATATATTCGTCATCATGACAACGGAGAAGTATTGTTTGGAGAAACCACGAAAGCCTTTGGTCCCTTTGAAGACCTTGGATATTATATTCCGACGTCGATATGTACCGAACACACAGAAGTATTTTACTAATAGAAAGCATGCAGTTACGGATTCTTTGTCTACGACAAAGAAAAATTATTTTTGTGTGCCACGATCTCAAAAACTAGTATCGTACATTAAATACAGTGACCGTCAAGTGAAATTGACATCGCTTAAACGTTTAGCACAGCCTTTACATTTAAAAGATAATATAAGAATCGCAGATACAAGAGATTTATCCCAACGACTTTACATAGAAGAAGCACCTGATGACGTAAAATGTGTTGTAGCAATACATCCCGAATTTTATACTGTTATAGAAGGCCGACCCATAAGATCATTTGATGACATCAAGGTATATATGAGCAATATTCGTGCCTACGCAATGACACGACAGCAAATAGGTTATAAACGAGACCTCCATATTAAACTTGAAAGAAATATAGTCGACGAAAACAGAGAATACGTCGTCATATCTAATAATTTCAAAAAGCACCTATCACACTTTCAGCATTTTCTTACAGAAGATTATAAAAAATCTATGGCCAAAACAGCCAAGGCTGAAAAAAATTACCAAGAATTAGTAGCGAAGAATAACGAGTTACTTGGTTGGGTCTCTGAGTTAATTATTTTGAACAATGTTGTTTTCAAATTGGACGCTGTTAGAAGCGTTCTAAAAATGTATCGCACATATTGTCTATTTGTAGCCCCTTTATTTTGGCGACAAATATACGATGAAAGCCTTCGAGGAAAGCTAATGTCCATACAGTTTGAATCAGGGGCATTCGCCACAGATAATGACTTGGTTGAATCTTTAGATATAGAAAAGACAGTTGAGTTGGCTAAAATCGAACTGAAAAATCCTTTACCAGCATATATTTACTTTAAAAGTCCTGAAGAAATGATATACATGTTTCGAACGTTAGAGTTGCAAAGTAGAGAATATTTAATACAGCTGTCAAGATCTTCTGCACCTTACAGAATACTTCAGGAACGTAAGAGACAGCTCAATCGTTCAACTACAATGGAGACAGATTATTTTCAATGGAATATTAATTTTCTGAAAAAAGAGATAGCCAGAGAAACTTACAATGAATTATATTTACAAGAGAAGTTCTTCCGTATTTTAAATGAAACTTTTTACGACACCGTTGCCAGCCCGGATACATTAAAATTAAAAATTTGTATAGAATTTGTTTACGAACAAATATTTGGTAAATGTGAGGAAGGACACCAAACAATTAGTGACCCGATGAAGATTTTAGAAGTATTTTACGAGGAATATAATTTAAGGCTGGACTCCTTAGACTTTAAGAGTGTCAAAAAGGCAAGAACTGATTGCTTTGCACAAGATTTGGCGATGATGAGAGACGCTGTCTTAGCCCAAAGAATATTGAGAGAATTCTATGAAATGTCGAAATCTATCCATAAAGCATTTGAATCACCTGCTCGATATAAACGTCCAGTGCTAAACAAGTTTATAGATAAGAAGACTTTGAGAGCTATGGCTGAAGCTGAAAAAGAGAAAGCAAGGCTTGCGAGAGGGGAACGCGTTAAGGTAAAAAAATATAAAATAACGCAAGAAGAACGTGACGCACTTTTATTTTTCACAGAGTGGTGCGATGGAATGGATCCAGCACCTTATTTGAAAGAATATGAACAATATGCCAAACGGGCGTTAGAAGCTACATCTATAACAGATTTTGACACACCTTAATTTCATGTCTACTGGATCTAAAATAATTTATTTGTAATTATAATTGAATTATATTATTACTTTTATTTTTTCGCATTGTTTCAACCAAATTTTAAATAAGAGCCCTATATGGTTGTTTTTATTTAAATATCTGACTATGCAAGCTCGTGTTGAAATTATGTAATCAAGTACATGACGTAACGAAATGTAGTTTTTAATATTTTAGATATTTTGTATTTATAGCGATCTTTAACCCACACCACAGTACAATAAATCCAGTAGTAGTGGTTAGCGTCAGACGCGTGGCAACTATAGGTCTCGAAAGACCTATCTGATCTCAGTCCGCCTTTTTCGCTTTGTACCTGTGGTATGATTGTGTCATTCTTTAGTGCAAATTCTCTAAAATCCTAGAAATATGCCTTATTGTGCTGTTTTGGAGCGCAAAAATGATAGCCGCATGAAAAAGTTACCCGAGGTGGTATTTCATGTCATGGAAAGTCTTATTTGAAGTAATATATCAAAACGTAACTTGCACTATTAAGTATGGATGGTATTGAACTTTCAACGATATGGCAACAGGGTAAAGTTTAAATTATATTCACAATCCAGAATTTGTTTTTCTTTTTAAACATCAAACTACACCCAATCAATATCAACATTTTGTGGTGTTTCAAATTAAAAATGTGTAAGTTTTGGCGACATCGGTTCTGATAGTAGTAGGAATGGGTAATATATGGTAATATAGCTTTTTCTGAATATCGTATATTCGAAATCGGATTTCGAAACTATATATGTTCTGAAACTATATAGGTATAGTTTGGAAACTATATGACTTCGTGTTGGTATCCACTCGGTAATCGCTCGGCTTGATTCGGCATCGCTATAAAATACGCGATGCGGATCAATATCGATATATAGTTTCTAAGATACACGATATCGGATATTCGATATTGCCACAATATATAGTTTCAATAACTATATACGATTTGTAACACCCATTCCTAGATAGTAGTTCATTGGTTTTTTCTTCCATGCTTTAACGTATGGGAATAGTGTTGGGCTGTCACGATATTTTGACGATAAATGAAGTAGAAAACCATTATTAGGAAATGAAACTATTTTTCGGATCTAAATGGCGTATATTTGTTTTTTCAAACAAACCAGAACGGCTGACTGCAGTGGTCATGGGACCTGTAAATGGCCCGGAACGTTGGCTTGTTTGAAACAAATAGACGCGATTTGGTTCCGGAAAAATAGTTTAATTTCCTGTGTAAGTAATTTCCTAAGAGCTCGAAACTATTATTATATACACTCGCACTGTTTTAATTAAAACGCTTCTGATAAGAAAAAGCTTCAGAAACAAGCATGAAGCTGACCATCTGAAGCTGACCAAAAAGTGTCTATTTACTTAACCTGATAGTTGAGAATATAAGAATGTTTGGAGAATATAAAATTACATATTAATTGTAAGTATTTATTCTGTGGTGTTATACGAATTTATTACAGTATTCCGGATTTGTACAGACATACAAATTTCCTACTTTGGCCAGATCAGTCTGATCATCGGGAAGCACAGTAAATAAATGTCGGATTTTGATATTCACATAGAGGAGAAGGAGGCATATTTGAACAGGGGTAGCTTAGAACAAACGCGTTTGCGCAGTCAGTTTGAGTGAAAAAAATAGTTGGAATTATGTTTATAATATGGCAACACCAAGCCCCACACCTGGCAGTAGCAATGGTCAGGTCAGTGTGCGTGCACCAAATATCAGGGGCCCATATATAAATAAGTTATCAAAACAGCTCAGCTTTGAAGTGTACGCGATAAAAAAATAAACCTTTCAGACGTCAAAACGGCTAGATTGGTTTACTTCAGCTGACATGCAGCATTTTGCTTTGGGGTAATGTCGCCGATATCAATAGAACCTTTGCCCTGCAGAAGGTGCGTTTAGGGTAATTTACAATCTGGGCCCCAGAGTGTCCTTGAGATAAGTTTAAAGCGATTAACATTTTTACACTAACGTCACAGTATATATGTTTTTTTTAAATAAATGGATATATTATGACAGCCAATAATAATGCATATGTCGGAACCGTAATTTAGACATCGTTTGGGCAGATTTAGGGATCGTGCAATAAAATTACGTTTAATAGTAACACTGTATATTTTTATCACTATGATATCGAATAACAACTTGTACTTTCTATTAATTTTAACAATCAAACTAGGCACTACGCGAAACGTATGACAGATTCTAGGTAGCGTGTGTGCAGCTCGAGAGTCCTAATCACCACTGTGTCCTCTCTAGTCTACCACCTATGTTCCCCATCCAGACTCCGCCGAGATCTACCGGCAGAGGGATACACTCTGTAACCTGCACCAAATAAGTATGTAAAATAAACAAACCTCTTGCTCTATTCGGTTTGTTGTTGTTTATTGATAAAGCTTTGGCATCACGTATTCTCCTACGATTGATGTTTTTATTGTAAAACCCACCGTTTTTATAAGATAACGATTTGACACCTATTATGCTCGTACTTACTGGTAAGTTGCATGAAGCTACTTCGGATACATTTAGTGCCGTCCAGACACTGTCAGATTCCTGTTTAGTTCAAGAGTGCTAAGTTTAATTATTTTATAATCGCGAAAATTGGTCGTTGGCTGTTTCAGGAGGCTACTTTATTGTTCTGTACTGGCAGTTTTGAGGACTTCTGTGGTGTGTTGTCGCGTTACCGTTGTGGATTGGAAGAGAGCGTACCTACTTGGGTGCCGAATTACTATGGCGTCCAGAGTAACGAAAGTGTCGGTCGCCGGTGATGTGGTTTTATTAAAAATTACTGCCAAGGTCACAACTTCACCAGTGATCTACCTTCAGACGTCGTGGGGAAAATCTAGGGTTCAAAGTAGTAAAGCTAAGGTTAAGTATTACTTAGAGTTCAATTTCAGTCAAACCATGATTCTCCAAAATGCGGTTTAGTAAATTAGTGACTAGTGTTCTCATTCGAATATGGTTAGGACACGTTTGCACTCTTATCCATTTGAAGAAACTTGAAATCGTACAAGTTAACAAGGTAACCTTGGAGGTTGGCCAGGTCGGAGACAACCACAACCCATCATTGAATAATTCTTGTAGGTATTGCCTCCTTTCCATTGATCATCCATTCCTTCTTCTAACCATAGTCCAGCATTATTATCACGGAGGAAAAAACCAGTGGAAGTGCCTTAAGCCTCGACTACTATCAGAACCAATGTCGCCAAAACTCACACATTCTTAATTTAAAAATCTTGATATGATTGGTCTTAGTTTCAAATAAAAAAAAAAAACAAATTGTCGATTGTTAATATAATTTAAACTTTACCCCGTTGGCATATCGTTGCAAGTTCAATACCATCCATACCTAATATTGCAAGTTACGACGTTTTGATATTATATTGAAATTTCAATCAATATGCTACCACCTACCGGTTAATTGCTGAATAACGACGAATTGGATTTATTACTATAGTTCTCCTAAAAAGAAGAGACCCTATTGCAGGGCTATAAGCTTTACTTTCGTTTTTTGTAACAATATAATTATTTCGATACGCAGAAAATTTAAAATTTATTGAAATAAGACTTTTCGATGTTATGAAATACCACCACGGGTAATATTTTTGGTACGGCTATCATTTTTGCACTCCAAAACAGCACAATAAGGCATTTTTCTAGGATTTTAGACAATTTGCACGAAAGAATGACACAAACATACCGAAAATGGCGGATTGAGCTCAGATAGGTATTTCGAGACGCATAGTTGGCACGCGTCGGATGCTAACTAACCACTTCTGTATTTATTGTTCAGTGATTATTATGGTATCATTTATCGGCTATAGACTCCAGTAAATGTTATTCATTATCTCATACAATTTATATAAAATATATAATATCCACGTGCATTTACGTGATCACATTTTACAAAATTGTAGTCGTTTCCATGCCAAAATGCTTATTCTTCTTTAAATTTCCTCGATTTGCAGTGGCACAAACACTAACCGTGAAGTGTCAAGACAGAAAAAAATGCGCAAACATTTTGTGTTTTTGTCAGTATATCTATGAAATTTTATTATTATTATTTACATGGTTGCTTGAGTTTATTTTAGAAAAAATATAATTTTATAGCGTTTTAAATATTTATTTAGAAGTGTGGTATTTTATTTTTAAATGAATTATTTTGATCGATAAAATATTGATTAATATTATTCATTGTTTAACGTATACAATGGCTTTTGTAAGAACAAACGGCGATTGCGTGGAAGCACTTCAAAAAACTTTGGTACCTATAAAATATTTGGATAAAATATTTAGACGACGTTATGTCAAAAATACTCAATATTATTTTACTAACAGAGCTCATGTTCAAGGGAAAGGTAAAGTGGATCATGGCAAGCCCTTCAGAAGGCCAAGAAATGATAATTTGGTCTCTTATATTAAGTACAACGATTGCAGAACTAAGCTGCTTGCTACACGCTACCGGTGTGCACCTATACATATGAAATACGGAGAAAAATTCAACAAAATTAAAAATTTGTCTAAACGCATGTATGTGCCAGAACCACTCGATGACATTAAGAGCATAGTGGGGATACATCCGGAATTTAACACTGTTATCTCGGGTCGTCCTTTGCGAATTTCTGACGACATTAATGTTTACATACGGACCATACGTTCATATGCAATGTTACGTCAACAAATTGGATACCGGAATGACTTAAACTGGAGAATACAAAAGAATATATCAGAGGAATTAAAGGAATATGGAAATATTTCCGGAAAGATCAAAAGTCATGTTTCAAACTTTCGACTTTTTCTTCTAGAAGACCATAAACAAGTTGTTACCAAATTAGCTAAATTAGAAAAACTGCATGCAGAAATACAGGTAAAAAATAAAGAATTCCTGGATATAATTTCATGTGTTACTCTACTAAATAATGTTATTTTGACACTTGATGCCGCGAGAAATTATTTGAAAATGTATAGAACTTACTGCCTGTTTGTAGCGCCAATTAGTTGGAGACAACAATACGATGAAACGTTACGAGATCGACTGCAATCAATACAATTTGAGACTGGCGTATTCTTATTGGATAATGATTTAATGGATTGTATCGATATCGATAAGACATTGGTATGCGCTAAAATTGAGTTAAGGAATAGACTTCCTCCTGTGTTATATTTTAAGACACCTCAACAAATGATGCACATGTTCCGCGGTATGGAATTGCAAAGTAGAGAGTATCTCATTCAACTTTCACACACTGGCGCCCCTTATCGCAGCTTACAGCGACACGTAAAGCATCTCAAAGAGGCAACCAAGCTAGAGCTTGATTATTTTAAATTTAATATTGATTATGTTGTAAATGCAACTGAAAGGGAGGAATACAATACTAATTATATTCAACAAAAATTTTTCCGAATATTAAACAATACTTTTTGCAATACCGTGTCTAGCGATGAAACATTAAAATTAAAGATTTGTATTGAATTTGTTTATGAGCAAGTTTTGAATAAATGTGAAGACGGGCATCATAACCTGTATGAACCTATGACGGTCATCGAAGGACTATATGAAAATTATTATTTGAATTTAGATGCATTAGATTTTAAAATAGTCGAGTCAGCTAAACGTGAATTGTTCTCCCAGGACTTAAAATATATGAAGTGCGCTCATCTTGCTCAAAAAGAATTAAAAGCGTTTAACGGGATGACAAATGCGTTGAACAAGGCTTTATTGCCGCCGGCAAAATTCAAGAAACTCTCCCCATTAGCTGCTCTACCATGTAGAAAGTCTACTGCGGTTAGTAAAAGCATAACTGTTAAAAAATGTTTTGATTTAACCGAGGATGATCGTGATGGGCTTTTATTTTTTACTGAATGGGTTGAAGGAACTGATCCTGCGCCTTATCTATCCATCTACCGTGATCAGATAGAACCTTTTCTAGCTGAAGCTGCCCATAAGTTCTCTGAAAAGCAAAGATCAAAGTCGTGATTAATGTTATCACGTATTTGAACGGAGATGTACATTTCACGTAGAGTCATGTGATAACTTAACATAATCAATAAAAAAGAGTCGTCGTCGAAAAATCATTGTTTTATTGTTTTTGGTATAACTATTTGGAAGATAAGCTCATACTTCATTGTAGGGCTTCGTTGAAACTAGTTGGTCACTTTTGTGTTTTCACATTGCCTCTGTTCATTCATTTTAATAATATATTTTTACAATGGATTCTCATCATAATGACGAGGAGCGTTCTTTTAATATTGAAGTACCTAAAAGAAGAGTATTTCCTAATATGCGTGTTAATAAACATTTTATTGTAGAAAACAGGAAATTAAAAATTCAGCGTGAAAAACGACTTAGAAAACCATCGGATGTTTCGCCGACTAAGTACTGTTTACCTGGTGAAAAACCTTTGCATACTAATGTTACTAAAAGAGAAGAATTGCTACTATCCTTTAAGGAATATGCTAAGAAACAGCACGTCGATAGGCATGAACAAAAGATGGACATCAACATTCGTGATCAATATAAAATTTACAGCACAGAGTTACGTCGACGACTGCATGTCGATTATCCTCCGAATGATGTGCAAACTATATTAGATGTAGATAAAGAATATTTCAGTTGTGTAGATGGACGTCAATTGCCTTACCGCCCAATGCTTTACAAGTCACTTAAAAGTTTATTTAGCGACCAGTTAAGAATAAGGCAAGATATTGGATATAAAAAAGATTGTGTTTTTAATATCGAATACAGCCATCGAAGAGAAATTAAAAAGTTTAATTTAGCAGTAAAACGGTATTTGTCCCAAGTAACGCACTTTGATACGTTTATTTCTGAAGATTATCATTTGTCCATGGTTATCTTAGGAAAATGGGAGAACTTGAAACACAGACTGTTAGAAATAGATGCTGAGCGCGAACATTTAGCTAACCAGCTGTTTACAATAACCTCCAGGTTGATCACATTAGATTTTCGATATAGTACGCAACAGAAGTACGGTAGATTTTTGTATTATTTATCTCCTCCCCATTTTCGATCACAAAATAGAGCATTCGCTCGCTCTGTTGAAATTGAGGCACGGGGTTTTGATTTTGGTGAAGTAAGTGAGGACGATACTTTTGATATAATGTTTAGCAAAATGAAAGAAGAGTGCTCCGGGAATCTTACTAAACCTGTCTTGTATTTTAAAGAATCTCATGATATAATCCAAGTTTTCGAGACAAATGCACAGCAACAGCTACATCATTTAACTCATGTAATGAGAACATCATTCCATTCAAATTCATTAGACAAAGCAAAAAAGTTTTTAAAGGAGTGGACTGCGAACGACAGCGCTATTCTCGCTAGTATTATATCAAATTTCGAATGGTACATAGAATTCTATCAAGAAAGGGCAAATCAGTTGGAAGCAAAATTCTTTCAGGTGTTGAATGGTTTTTTCTACGACAGTGTTGGAAGTGTGGATGTATTGAAATTTTATTTACACCTAGAATTTTGTTATGAGAAGGTGTTTTTGGAAACGCCGATGAACATGGATATACTAGCAATGGGTAAAGCGATAGAATCATTTTACTTGAATTACTCCAAACGTTTGGATGAAATGAGTCACTATCAAGTCAAACAGGCTCTAAATCAAGCACTGGAAATTGAAAAGATCAAAGCTAAGAAAAGTGTGATTGCGGCGAGAGAACTTCGTTTATTTGAGAGATTAGAACACGAGTTATTACTGTCATTTACCCCTGTACCTAACAAGGCTCTTAATAGTGTAATAGACGAACCACAAACGAAACATGCGATCACTAAGAAAAAAGAGAGAAAACCTGAACTTAAACTTGAAATCGAAAAAAAGAAAATGAGATCTTTGAATGAATCTGAAGTTGAGTATTTGCATCTTTTTACCGACTGGACCGGAGACGAAGACCCAAGCGATTATTTGCTTGGGACTTGTGATGACGATGATAATGACGTGACTCAGTATAAATAACCAGTGCTTACTGACCACTTATAATAAAATAAAACACAGTGTGTATTGAAAACATTTTATTTATGGGGAATCAATATGAAAATGTCTATAAATCCGTTTCCGCGAAACACAATACGACAGTAAGTAGTAATGTAGACAATAGAATAAAACAAATGCTTTTAACAAAATGTACATTCTACTCCTTAAAATGTTTGGTTTCTTGGTATCGCTCATTACTTAATTTGAATTTACATATTTACAAAATGTGTAACATAATTTCTGGTAAGGATTTTATTAGGTACTTAAATACATGTTTTAAAGATTAATGTAGACTATTCTATGAGTCAATAAATAAATAAAAATCCTAAATACATAAAGATCTATTGGTAAATAACAATTAATTTTAGCCATGTTCGAGAAAACATATTTAAAGCTTATTTTTTTATATTATAAATTACTTTTGTTGAAAGGCGATCAAACCATATTTGGATTTTAAAATGGCTATTGGGGTTTTAAAACCTGTATCACTCCTAAGATATTTACATTTATTTACAGTTTAGAGGGTAAAGTAAAAACGTCCTTTGAACAATTAGTATTTTAAAGAAAACTATTGGAACTGGAGAAATCTTGAGGCGCAACACATTCAAAAGGATTGTGGGATGAAGACAGCTTAAATTTGATCCATATAGTAGATATTAATACAAATATTTAGAAATCTTTGGTGTTAGAGGAAATAGTAAACAGTAATAGGGATTCGTACTCTAAACATTGAGAAGACGAAAAAAGTATCAAATGTTATATAAACACACAGTAATCATTCCACTTCCAAATATTACACAAATAATACATACACAATTATGACTTATTTTATGTTCATTATAAAAATAACACAAAAGTGAGGCACGATAGAAACAACCTACACGTAGAAACTAAATTACTCAGAACAGTAAAAACAATACGAAATGAAATGTAGAGCTATGGAATTAACATAGCCGTAATGTTGCATACATTACTTAAATAAATTATCGAAAGTTGCAATTTTTCGTAAAAATTTTATCTTCATCCTTCACCTAGCTATTTTCAAAAGAAAATGACTAGTAGTCAAACCAGTTTTATCAAAATATTCGTTTCCTTCAAAATGTTCATTTCAATTTGAGCAACATTATGATGGAATATTTTCATAAGACGTTAATACATCTATCAATAAAACAATATTTGGTGTTATTAACTCGAATATCGTCCATCAACATCCACAATGAGCACTTTATAATATAACAATGCGATACGTGATGTCGATTTAACAATATCGTACACAACACTGACAAATAAATTCACTTGTTAGTGTTCTTATTTCACTTATCTTACTCGTTTCTTCTGCAACTTAGCTAGTTTTCTTCTTTTGAGTATCATTTCGTAGAGAGCTTCAAGTCCCTCGTGAAGTCCTTCGCCAGTGATCGCGCACGCAGGCTGTACGTGCCAAACGTGCGCATCGCGCGACCCATGCGGCGAGGACACCAGCTCGTGCAGACCTAATAGCTTTTCTAGCTCGCGGGGTTCCTTAGCTCCAGGCAAATCCTGTTTATTCGCTAACACCAGTATTGGCACGCCTGTGTTATCAGGGGACTTAGCTGTGCGTATTAATTCCATCTTTGCTTCCTCCATCCTTTCCACGTCGACTGAGTCTAACACGAATATGATTCCATCCGTGCATCGAGTGTAGGACTTCCAGAGAGGTCTGAGTTTTTCTTGTCCACCCACGTCCCAAACTAGGAAGTTGACGCCCTTGGATTTGCCGAGAGTACCTTTGACTTTTTCGCAGTTAAACCCTATTGTGGGGACGGTGTTGAGGTATTGATCAAACTTGAGGCGGTAGAGCGCTGTAGTCTTTCCGGCGGAATCAAGGCCGAGCATGACGACGTGCAGAGTGCCTTGCGCCGAAGGCAGCGCATCGAGCAGGCTCGAGTTCTTGCCCATGTTCGCACCCATGTTGCTTGCCGGTCGGCTATCTGACACTCTCGTCCGAACGCACCATTACGAGCACTCCGCCTCACCTGGAAGTAATAGAGAACGACAAAATTAATACGGGCTATTATATATGTTAGCATGTATTGATTTTTTTAAGAATCTCAGTTTTTAGAGTTTCTAATACAAGTACTGTTGTTATCTGTCCCTAAGGTTTCTGCTAAATACAAGTAGAGGACAACTAGAGACTATTTTCAAACTTTTCCTATTTTCGTAATCGAACGATCTTATTGGGTCAAGACGGCTACGTTTTCGTATTCAATGTAAGGACTATTAAATACAGGTTACAAAGTTCATAATACACTCAATAAAGCACTGAGTCGTGATTATGACACGAATCTAATTAAGAGATATGTTGAGATAGTAATTTCATTCGCTATAAATTATAGATGCTGTAATACTGTGCTAGATGCTGTGATGCTGTAATAACGCAATAGAGGTATACGTAATGAAAACGTAAAGAATAAAATGAGTATTTTTACTAATATACGAAAAATGATATAATATAATAAAAAAATGTTAACGACAAAGTAAGTATTTTTATGCAGTTATTGTTCAAAAGGCACATTACACTGGACTGGAAAAAATTTCGTTTATAACTTTCGTATCTTTTTTTTAATAGTTATTATTTTCCGCATAGAAGAAAACATAAAATATGTAAAAACATTAATCGGTAAAGTACTTAATTTAGTAAAAGAAAATGTCAGCGACTGTGCTCAGCGGTGGCCTCGTAACTTTTCTCGGATTACTTAATTCCGACAAGTTCTCGAGGTTTCGAAAATACTTTATAACGATTATTTAACGCCAGGCAGTGCCGTGACGTTCCATTGTTTTTTTTAATCTCAGTTATATTGTATTTTATTACATTAGTATGTTTATTAGAGGGAAATTGAAGAGTGCAGTTCGAATTCATTTAAAGACTGCGAGTTGAAGTGTATCTACTTTTTTGACCATTTAATCAGACGTCTCCACATTCGCAGACTTGCAGGATTATCATTTTCATAATTTAAAAATAGGCATGTATACAAAATGTAGTAAAGATTGTAAAAACATGCAAGGAATTCTTCCAGTCATTCTTAGAGTATCGAAAACTGTTGGTTCCTGCGCTGAAAACGTGAGCGATAAATACTCATTTATATTGTACTACATATTTAGAAACACGAATGGTAGAAAGTGTACGTTATAGCGGTTACTAAAATAACGAGTATGGGGGGAGTTAGCGAGAGGGGAAGGTAAAGAGACGAGACGAGATGTCGCCACTGCGGCGTGCGCCCTTTATAATTATTCGTGGCAGACGAGTCGTTGACTTTTTGTCGTATTTTTGCGCGGGCTCGTAAGGTGAACTGCAGTTGCATTGCCCAGTTTGTAGAGGTGCGTAAATGATTTTAGTTAGCTTCAGATTTATTCGGATGTCTTTTACGAAATCAGTGCAATCATGTAACAGAGTCCGGTGACAAACAAAGAAATAGAACCCTGTTATTAAAAATACTGGTACAATTGTAATAAACATTAACATTTATGTATGGGAATTTTAATACATTATTATGAGCAATTTTATTTATTACTAACTGTGCTTTAATTGTGCGAATTCTTACACGCAAACATATATCACTTACGTATCCTACTAATATATAAAAAGGAAATTGTGTTGGTTGGTTTCTCTGGACATGTCCTCACAGTAATCCTTATACACAATATTAGACGTATACTATCAGTAAAGTTGAAGCATTGCCAGCGTTAAAACAATTTTGTTTGCAAGCGGAGATTGTAACTTGCCCCGTTCTTTATTGTACTTATTGGCCCTTTTCTTGAGGGAAAACCTTTTGTTTATAACAAAAATATAATCTAGCTGTTAAGCGCCGTTGTTTGACAAGAACAAGAAAGCTTCGGGTGGCCGCACTGAATGCCTGCAGGTTAAAAGAATCCTTAAGACTTTGTATTAACAGCCTTTCACGTAAATTTAATCGTTTGGACTTGTGCAATCGTCGCATTGAGCGCGCACGATACGTACTTTAAAATTGATATATCTTTTTATTTGTCAATCGTCTTAAATGAAACAAACACTAAATGTGAATAAAATCTTAATACATCACCGGAAATCACATGCAAATTGGCTTCTGTTATTGTGGAAATTAACATGCACAAACAAACAGACAAAAATTGGAAAACGGATGTTTAAGATTTAATAGCGTGTCTTCGGTAGGTGGCACCGACTTTACTTTAAAATATTAAAAGTTCACACTTAGCATTTAAATGTTAGAAAATGAAACAATTTACGCATTTACAATAAGTGTTAAAAAAGAGCAATAGACTATAATAATATAATTGTTGCAACACCGCACCGTATTGCCGGAGTTCCAAAAATTTTCTCTGAAATTTGGGCATCACTATTCCTGTACCTATATATACGTACATATATATTATAAATGAAGCATCGGTCTGTTGCAAGTTGCAAACTCGCTTTACCTGCAGCGACGCACCTCGAATTAATTTGATGACTGCCGAGCGTTGACCTCGAAACGAAAGTTGATGAATACATCTCTACATTTTATGTTATAAAAGGAAATGTCCTTATGTATCCATAGATATTATATTATGGGGCACATGTTTGTGAGTGATGTAGCTATAACGATTTCAATTACTCAGATTTCAGTGATTAGAAACGTAGCGTCGATCTGTAAGGTTCTTTAATTCACTTTTGAGGATACTGTGACTATGCATTGCAAATTTTGTAACTATATTTTAAACCGTTATTAATCACGTCATCTTAGTTTGGTCGTCTCTTAATTAAACTTGCACTTTTTGTATAGATCCAGGACTCCATGTTTTGTTTTGTAAAAAGTTTCAAGTTTTTACGTAAGCAGCCGTTTTGATAAAAACGTGTAAATATGTACCTATATTACTTTTTATATCGCTGTAAATCACTCGCATAGAAATAAAACTAGTCGATAGCAGAGTCAGAAATCAATTTAGAGTATTTGTTTACCAATACCAATACTCTAAATTGATTGTATTTGGTTACCATGTTGGTCTGCCACGCAGAGGTCCGGGGTTCGATTCCCGGGCCGGGAGAAATATTTGTATGGCCTAGGTTCATTTCTCTCGTGAGTTTGGGTGTAATTTGTGGTTGTCTGTGTGTGTATCCATGGCACTCGCGATATAGGGTTTTCCTAGTGCGGTGCTATGAGTGTGTGCGTTATTATTATTGTTGAAACGCAAATCTTCACATTAGTAATTGTTACTGTCTATATTTTCGTGAAGCGAAGAGTAATGGATTCAAATTATTATTGCAAACTTTTAGACATTAACCACGCGTCCTGTGACGACATAGTTACAGAATAGACTCTAAAATGCAGCAACTTGATTAGTGTGGCTATCTATGTGCTTATCGCACTGTGAACATTGTACTAATAGAGGACTTACGTAACCGTTATTACATGGTGCTGAGTTAAAACAATGAGATTCCACCTTTAAGTATAGCTTTGAGATCGGAACTTAAAATTAGTAAACTCTTTCGTAGGTATCCACCTTACACTTAGTATGTGATTAAATCTTGAGTAATGATTCAATAGGACTATAAATTATGAAGAAATATTGCTTGTTTCGAAGTTTGTGTTAGTTGGATTTAATTTGATGCTGCTTCTTTTTGGGTTAAGGAGTTTCTGGTTGGTATGTATTAAATTAAGACTCTATACAGTGAAAATGTTGAATTAATCACTTAGAAATATATAGTAAAATTGAGGATATATATATACTGATTACTAACAAAATGGTGTGAAAACCGATTCCTAAATGGTACTAATACTGACGTGAAATAGCTTCTTAAGTATTCAACGTATTAGTTTTTCTAATTATTTTTCAACATTTTTATGCCTTTTTGTTTGTAATGTTGATTAAAGACGTAAATTATTCTAAAATTGCTGATTCATTTAACCTGTTTTAGGTGACAACTTTCGTTTTAAATTTCGAGGTCGTTTTAATCGCAAGTCGGACGTGTATAGCAAACATTGAGGCCTACGACCTCTCCATCTCGAAAAAGTAGTAATGCAACTTTTGTTTTTGTTCTACAGACACCAAAAACTGGGAACGGTTGGTGTGATTCGCTACTAGGGCAATAGACAGGTGTAAATAAATAATAAACAAACTGATCAATATTAGACAACGTCACATATGTTGCGCTTTACTCTGATTCCGAAGTAAGTAACTACAGCACTTGTGTTATGGAAATCGGAAACCACGACGGTACCACAAATAACTAGATCCGAGGCAAGATAATAAAGTTAATTTTCTACATTGACCCGGCCGGGTGTCGAGTCCGGGGCCTCAGAGATGGCAACACCATGGAAACCGGTGTGCAAGCCATTTGGCCACGGAGGTTGTTCAAGGTGTGATCTTAATAAGGTCACGTACTAAAATTTCCCCTTTTATTAAATTTTCCCATTTTCAATATATTGAACTTTTGTCGATTTAAAAGCTTAAAACTTTATCTGGTTTTTGTTCATTTATCAACCAATAAGGGGCTTATAAATTCAACATATCTACTTTTCACTATTCTGAGTAGGTTGTAATATAACGTATGTTAACAAAAATAATATGTAAAATAATAATGTTGTATACATTTGAATAATAATGTGTTATACTTTCTGCTTATCAAAAACTTCATAACCTATTTTTTGTGTTACTTGTGGAGATTTGTAATTAGTGCTGTCATCAGTTACTTACCATATAGGTATATTTATTGCTAAAAATTTGCTTTAAATCTGCCAAATAATAAATAAATAAATGAAACAGTGAACTTTGTATCTGTGTCTGCACTTTATATTTAAACAACAATCAAGACTGCAGAATCAGCTGCAAGGGTCATCGAAGTCGAGAGAAAGCAAGATGTGGCTACAAGCCCTTTACTTTCTCCGATAGTTGCCACGCCTCAATAACCTACAAGGGTTTATATAACCAATTCGAAGAGATTAATTCACTCCAATCTATTTATTGTAAATGTGGAGTACACTGTACTTGATAAGATTGGCAAAACACGTTTTCTGTTTGGTTTCTTTGATAGAATTATTAACAATGGTATACACATTAAAACACTTTCATGTCGTAATCGATTTCTTTGCACGGGAGTGATTCATTAGTTTGGATTACGATTACAGTTATGTTTTTTATGACACCTACTGATGGGACGAATAAATCGTGCCTCTGCTCAGCTTCAAATTGTGCAAATGTGCCTGTAATTTTACCAGCACCCGTACCATTTAAAACCGGAACACAGTAATACTCACATTACTGCTTGGCGGCAGAAATAGGTAAGGTGGCAGTACTTGGATAGATTTTTAAAACAAAAAATAAGTGCGCATTTGACCTTCATCTCACCTGATGGAAAGTGATAATGAGGTCGACGATGTAGCATGCATACCTAAATAATGCCTATTTACATGCGCCTATAAAAAGGTTCAAGTTATAGCGTTCGGGGAATAAGTCCGCAGGTAGGGAATTCCACTCTCTAGCCGCTCGTCATATAAATGTGGAAGCGAAACACTTCGTGAGAATCTTGAGAATATCCACAACATAGGGGTGGAATTCCAGCCCACGTCTAGTCCCCGATGATGGCAAGGGGAAGGCGGAATCAAATTGTGCAATTCCATCACATACTCTCCTTGATATTAACTGTAGAATACCGATAAGCAGGCAACTTTACGATGATCTCTGTTACCCTAGTAATTTAGCTTAGGAGCTCTACTGCTATACTAAATTTTATGTTTATTTCAGATGTGCATATAATATTATACGAGTAAGTAACTGCATAACGTGGTGGCAATATTTTTCTAAATTTTTCTAAATTAAAATGGTCTTCTCCCGGTCGAGGTCAGACAGTCGCCTTCGGTTCGGGTTTTCGGGTTTTCATAAAAATGGTTAATTTACAAGTTTGAACGAGACATACTAAATGCAATAAATATAGTACTATATACGCGATCGATTCCTATTAGGACCAATTTGAGGAATGAATTTTTTGAATTGGTTCTGGTCTGGTCTGGGTATTCTGGGTAGCGGCCGGAGCGAATTCTGTTGCTTGGTACTCATACAATATAGTGAATTCCTTAGTTTGGTATCAAATAATTGGTGTGGTGATCTGGTATGTTATTATTGCTTTGGATTTAATAACTAACTTTTTATAGCTCCTTGTGAATGAGCTCGTCCAGGGAAGTACTGCCACCTTATCTATTTCTGCTGCCAAGCAGTAATGTGCAGCATTATTGTGTCCCGGTTTTGAAGGGCAAGAGTGCTGGTGAAATTACAGACACATGGGATTTATGAACTCAAGTCTCAGGGTGTCAGGCGCAGTGTACTGCCCCTCAGATCATTGCGAATTAAAGTTCTGAGTGGCACTGCCACTGTTATGGACAGGCGTGTAGCTTACCATCAGGCGCATGACTTGTTCGTCGCGTCACTTTTTATGCGCTAATAAATTCATATCGATGTTGTATGTGAGTGAAAGTTTATACGATAAAAAGACCGAATGTTATTTCGATAAAAATGCTTTCTAATTATAAAGCAGTTTTATTGTAAAATAAAATTCCGATCGAGATATTTTTTTTATGAAACCAAATGACCGGAGGAACAAGTCGTGCGCCTGGTAGTAAGCGACACGCCTATCCATAACAGTTGCTGTGCCACTCAGGGCTTTAAATTGCAAATGTGCTTGTAATTTCACCAGCACTCTTTACCTTCCAAAATCGGAACGGAATAATGCTCACATTACTGCTTGGCGGCAGGAATAAATAAGGTAGCCGTATTCCCTGGACAAACTCTTTTACAAGGAGGTTTACTGCAACTAAAACTATATATATTTACTTTGGTTGATAAAATTTACAGAAGTTACGTTTTTTTTCATCATGTTATTGACCATATTCTAAGTGCAAGTGAACATTACACTTTACAATTTGTTTTAATCCAAATACTTGACAGTGATGTAGTTTTGATGACAGCCTATATTCTGGCACGAACCAGTTCGTGACATAGTCCAGTTATATGTTCCGTTAGGTGTTGGTCAAGCCGCTGTTTCATCCAAAACCTCAGTAAATCAGCTGACCGATGGATGTTATAGCACAATACTACTTACAAGTTCGAGCTGCAGAGCAGAGTTTTATGGGAGTTGACGATTACATTGTTGATCTATTTTTAAATTACATACTTATTTATTTATTTCCAATATACAGCTATCATTACAGGTTATATGTATACCTAATGCTATAGTGTAGACAACAAATCCTATTTAATTATATATCCTATTGTTACAATAATATGTGAATGATGTAAAGAGCGAGAACAATATAATCATCGAATGTTTTACAACGTATTCATTACTATATAATCGTAGTTAATTAATCAATTGAAAGTTTACCGTACTGGTATAGATATAAGGATATATTTGAATTGAAGTTTGATCATATTAAAGAGTTTCTCAAGGTAATGGCTCCGAAGCTTGGATTTTAGAAAAGAGTTTTGCACCATACGTTTTAGTTTTTAAAGTGTTATACACATGTTAAAAGACTTTTCAGCGTGGATTTTATATCTAAAGTGAACTGGTATGATTAAAAACCATTATACATACTATTGGTTATACTTCTCAGGTTATCACTTAAAAGAGGATTGCCAAAATATTTTAAAAATGGACTTTCACCAAACGAACGACAAATTTCACCAAAATTTGTGGTTCGTCAAATGATTTACCATTCCCGACACTAACAATTAATGTCAATTATGACAACGGCTATGTGCTAATCGTTTCGATGTACTGTCGATCGTGTGTATAACGGCACGATCTAAAATCCGTCAGCCGTGGCGGCCGGCAATCGGTTCACTTATGTACGTATGGTACAAATAACCCATTGGTACACACGACAGACATCGAATGATCATCCAGTCGAGTCATGTTACTGAACCTACAAATCAGAATCATTACGGACTTTCGTATTCGGAGATTCCAATTGTTTAAAGAGTTTCATAAACATATGTATATTTGTAACGAATACTACTTAAGTAAGATTACGATCTTACAATTTCCGATTACTTATTCGTAAGGAAGAGATTTCTTTATAACAGCAGTTTAGGACACTTATGTACGCACGGTACAAATAACCCATTGGTACACACGACAGACGTCGAATGACCATCCGGTCGAGTTATGTTACTGAACCTGCAAATCAGATTCATTACGGACTTTCGTATTCGGAGATTCGAATTGTTTAAAGGTTTTAATAAACATTATACTCGTATATATATTTGTAATGAATACTACTTAAGTAAGATTACGATCTTACAATTTTTGATATCTTATTCGTAAGGAAGAGATTTCTTTATAACAGCAGTTTAGGACACTTATGTGCGCACGGTACAAATAACCCATTGGTACACACGACAGGCGTCGAATGATCATCCGGTCGAGTTATGTTACTGAACCTGCAAATCAGATTAATTACGGACTTACGTATTCGGAGATTCGAATTGTTTAAAGGTTTTTATAAACATTATACCCGTATATATATTTGTAACGAATACTAAGTAATTAAGATGACGATTTTAAGTTTCCTTCAACAATTATAGCAGTTTAGGACATTTTGAATGAAACACAACCTTGACCTGCGGTGGCTTGACGGTTTGCACTGTGGGCACTGGATGCGGAGGTCCCGCGTGCGATTCCTGGTAGCTGGTCTGTTTGTTCTGATCTGGGGGTTCGGGGTAGTGCCCGGAGTGAATTCCGTTGCTTTGGCACTCACAGTACAGGATTTTATTTATTATACCAGGTGATGGGACGAACAACTCATGCGCCTGGTGGTAAGCGACGCGCCTGTCCATAACAGTTGAAGTGTCACTTAGAGCTTTAAATTCCAAAGATCTGAGGGACACTGCAACTGCAATCGTCAAATCAAACAAGTTTTTGATTTGAGACCAGACAATTGGTGTGGTTGTTTGGTACATTATTATTATTAGTATGAAAATCAATTTTAGACTCTCGCCTTTCCCATGGCCTAAAAGATTATTATTATTAAGAACAAATTTGTAATTTGTCTATCACGTTAAATGCATTTTTTGGTTGACAACCGATTAATATACAAACGTAATGTCAGACATTTCGCGCTCTCAGCTGTTGGACTTACTTAAAGTAACCTATTTGATAATTTTCTGCACTGTACAATTATTGTTCTATTGTCAATAACGGCCGCGTGCTGCGAATGTAGAGCGGATGTTGTGTTTGTTTGTTAAGGCATACCAGTATCGTATCTGTATTGTTTATTTACTGCATTTGAATCAATAAACACTATGAAGGCGGTCGCCTTGATGTTACTGAAGTAGGTAATTTAGTTTTACATTTCATACTTACTTATAAAAAGACTATTGCTTGGGGTCTATAAGGTTGTCTTTCAACACGCTAACACGCTGCCAATTCTTTGAAAATCCTGCAACAAACGAAATAAAAAATTGGATGACCTGCAACGTACTCTAGATACCAGCTTATCATAAAAAAATGATAGGGCTTACACTTAATATTACTTTGATTACTAAGTTAGTAACTTTGCATTTATGTACATGCTGCCATACATATTTACATACCTATATCTACATTGTTAATAGTGTTACATATCCCCTTATACACAAATAAATATTAATCAATTAATACATAAGTAACTGCTACAAAGGTCATATGAGCGTTTGAAAATTTTCTAGTTTATTAAATGCGAATATAACGTAATAATCGAGTTTAAATTATCAAAAAACATAGGCACTCTAAGTTTTACTCATTCAGATACATAATAATAAATAATAATTTATTGTTATGTATACATATTATTATTACATAATACCTGTAGTATAGGTACTATATTAGCAACTATAGGCAAAAGGTTGGGAGCCAGGAGCTCAAACAAAGTTAGACCTGAGCTATGAGTCTCCTAAACAGAGCAATCTGGAAAGAAATCTCAGGGCAATGAGCTAATTCCGTAAAACATTTTGTTTTTTCATCTATGCGCAGCGTGTGGTGCGAGGCGGCGGATGGCAATTTCCGCCTTTTCCGCACTCGCACACTTAATGAAAGAAGCGGGATCCGCCTTCCTGGCCCACTCAATGATGGTGTAGTAGAGTAAATGACATGATGCTAGCGGAATCTCAAGTTATTATAGGTAAAAGTTTTGAAAACCTTGCGGCACGTTCGCTGTAGGCTTGAAAATAAACAAATACCCGTGAAGGGCTGCTACACGGGGCGGAATAATATACCCAGTCAAACTGATATTCACGATATTCCAAAACAAAAAAGAATTGACTTATTAGTACGATTTTAAATCGAAAAGTTTTTACAAATTGTAGAATTAAAAATATAATGATGAAATTTGTGTAAAAGGACGTGAAATGCGAGTTTTGGTCTCGCGTTCAGTTTCTGGCTCAAGGTGTAACCCGACGATAATTAACTCCAATGACTCTAACAAAGATGTATACTCTATTTTTGCATACAATTGTCGTTTATACAGTACGTTATTAAATAATAAGACTTGATTTCGTAATTTCATAAAGAATTTACTGTAATTACTTATTCTTAACATAACTATCTATAAGTATGCATATTATAAATAAAAAGCATGATTTATCCACACATATTAAATACGTAATGGTTACATAGGTTTTGAACTATTATTATTGAAATTATTACTGTTGTAAGTAATGCTAGTAGTAATTGAGTATATTTTTAACGTCAAACAAATGGTTATTTAGTTTCAGCGAAAAATTTTGAACAATTCCCAAAGAATTCTCTATCCCAATTATGAACGGTGCCGTCGGATGATCAGGCCATTTATTATTTAGAAAGGTACTAGGTAATCACGAGTAGTTTCTATGCCAGGCATCCAAGTTTGCGAATTGAAACGTCTATTATTTAAAGCGAAACAGAATAATGCGACTGAAACCGTATATACGAGCGCGCGATATATTTCAATTGGAAACGAAGCAGGTATTTCCTCGGGTCGGAAAGTACGGAAAAATGTTTTATATGTTTTAATGAGTATTTGTGTGCTGGCGTCGAGTTCTTGCAATTCAAATTGTACATATTAAGTAACATCGCGTACTGTTTAATACTGGAATTCAAATGTTTATATGGTGAAATAGCGCCAGTCTCGTTTGAGATTAATCAAGACCAGAATCGACTTGTAAGGTTCGTTTCCGAAATTGGTACTGCTTGGAATCGTACTCGGAACCTCCCCATCTAGCGTAGTGCTAATAACAAGGCCATAGAGGTTGTTAAAATTATACGTATACCCATTTATATTAAAATAAACCTGTATTATGAGTTTGTCTCTAGTTTACGTAGTTGGATAACTTAGAGAAACTAAGTAGAAAGAGAGCAAATAAAAATCTTTGTAGAGAGTTCCACTAACGCTAAGAATCTCTAGAGAAACGTGAAAAGAGACTTACTTGTCATGAGTCAGCAGCCAACAAAAAATGAACATTCAACTGTACAACTGAATAAACGATTAGATAGCGAAATAACCTCATGTCACCTCTCCGGTGGGAAATGCAAAATACAGTGCATGAGTGAGATTTATTTCCTGAGGTCTGACGAGATTCGAGGTAAGATATCATATTCAGTTTAATAAAAAAGAAAATAAGCCAATGAATTTTAGTTCGTTGGCTGCTTAAATTGAGATTAAAGCTAAGCTTCATGATTCTTAATCTTTATTATTTGATCAAATCTAGAGGTTAATACTTTAGATTGACATAGAGCATTACAAACTTTGACTTTCATTGTACAGGGTTATTTGTAAAATGCTAACAACCTCGCAGGATTATATTACTAACATAGTAAACAACAACTTTTCTTGCATTGCTTTTTACAAAACATATTAAATTTACCAAAAATAAAGTTTTAAGTTTTCGTTGTACTCTCTGACACTTTTTAGAACTGAATTTGGTAGTTAGGTAATAAGTTCAAAAGTGCAAGCGTCCTCTCTCGATGCTCAAACCCGCTGCTGCGTTTTGCACCGGACTGCTATTTACGCTAGCGCAGAGTGATCACCGTTTAGATCATAGATTCGCAAACTATTTGGTAAATAATTATAATTATTAATACAAAGATCGAACACTCAGAAAAAACACTCAGAAAAAATTCCTTCGATCCGGTCGGATTCGAACCGACGTCTTCTTGCATACCGTG